CTGTAGCTCATCAAGGAGGTCCGATCGAGTGAGGCACTCGAGGAGCTTCATCACTGTAAACAACCGATCCGACTGCTCTCGGAGCCTGGCCTTAGACACCCCGCTGGCCGCCACGCTCTGAGATCGACGTCAGTGCGGCAAGAGAGAGCTGCATACTAAGTAAGTATTACTAACCTACCTCCTCCGCTCCGCTAGCAACACTGCTACGCCCCTTCTTCCCCACATTGGCATTGAGAGTCCCTTGCCGCTTGGGACCTGCCATAACTTTTTCGCGCGCCACAAAATTCTCACAGCAACACCTCGAGGTGTCTTCGCTACTCCATTACGGTCATCAATAGCTGCCTGCAGTACATCCCTATCAGCAGGATCTAAACCGCTGATCCCTCTAAGCTGATCTACACTAGACAAGCGCATGGCAGAGAAGTCCCCACGCTGGAGGAAGCACTTCACATGATGCCAATCAGTGGCTTCCACGTTGAAGCCATAACCTGCCACAGACGTTCACGACTAGAGATAACAGCAGCTTGTCGGACCCGTCTCTTTGATGCCGTCGATCCCCAGACGGAGCTCTCCCCTGTCAATGAGCTTGTAGCAACCACGACACTCCGACCGGCTTGATTTAGCATACTCTACACTTAGTCCGATCGAGGATGAAGAACTGCTTCCCGATGAAGCACCTCGGCTCTGAACACATAAGAAGGAGGAATGGGGAGGGACCCCCGGGTCCAACGATGAAGACAGAGGTGGCGAGCATCACCCCTATACGTGCTTCGATCTCCTCCTGGTCCGGGAACTTCAACGAAGAGAAACCATAAATGTCCGAGATGGAAGCCGGCAGGGATCTCCCTCTCCAGAAGCACTTCGCATGGTACCTGGACACCTCTGGTAGCAGTAGTAGTAGTAGTAGTAGTAGTAGTAGTAGTAGTAGTAGTAGTAGTAGTAGTAGTAGTAGTAGTAGTAGTAGTAGTAGTAGTGTTAATCAGCCACGATCGTTACCAGGTAGGGGCCTTCCCATCAAAGTGAGGGCTCTGGACCATCCGCCCGAGTCGGAGTGCCTTGTCCGGGATGTTGGTATGACAAGCACGGCAGTGGGATCGGCCCGTCTTCGCATACTCCGCTATGAAATCAAAATTCTGGTCGTAATAGGGCATTTTATAAAACTATAATAACGGCTAACTGCCCACTGGTAACAACCAAAAGCGTCTCTTCAAGGAGCAAATACAAAACACCAGAGACGCGCGGTGGATCCCATCACTGATGCCATCGATTCTGCCTGCTGCAAGAATCGTCACCGCGCCACGAAATTCATCAGGTAAACCTGCGTGCTCCAGGCGGAATATTCACCCGTATTTCATCATGAGAGAAAACATAACCTCGTCGGAAATGATCCATCGCAGCCTGTCGTCGACGCGCATCCTTACTCTGACCTCACAGTGCCTGCGCCTCATGAGCCTTACACTCTGGCATTCATCACTATCACTCCCCCAATTGACAGGCACCTACCAAATAGGATTGCTAATCTGCGATCCTAGCGAGGCTATTCTACATACCTAAGGGAGAACTTTGCCAGTCTGCAGCACCTTCGTCTTGTGTATCTATAGAGGTCCCGAGTTCGATCCCGGGGCGCGCCACTTGTACCAAATTGAATATCATATTCTCCAAGCGTGTCCAACACTCATCACCCCTGATATCCCACTATTCCAGACTCTCACAACAGACTAGGCTGTAGACCGTAACTGTTATACGGTTCGGTATTGTAGTGAGCCTCCAAGGCCGCCCCCTGAATATTGAGCAAGTACTCATGCTACAAAGCCATGAACGATTCACCCAATTTATCGTGCCAGCGTGGCTGATGAGCCAATGGTGTCTCAGCGGTAACTAAATGACGGCACTTCGAGACAGAAAACAATTAGTCATTTAAACGGTAGTATCACTAACAAACCCAATTCATCAAGGCAAGCATAGGCCGCGTTAGAGAGAAACATGACAGTTATAGATATGGCGTCTTCACAAAGGAAAATTCACCAGGTGGGACGAGTGAAATTGTACGAAACCGATGTAACCTGTAGCGACTCGAGCCCAGACTCCTCGATGACCCTTTGGAGGAAGCAAAGCTGTTCCGGGCAGTCATGTATCTGGATGACAGAGTGTCTAGTAGCCGCGACGAAGTAAGCGGCCACCTATTCTAGCTCTCACGAGGCCATTCAAGCCGATCTGAGCGAACAGTGTGGTGACGATGCTCACCAATGCCTCTATTATACTCATGATAGGCGTCGATAAGAGGGGGGGGTTCTATTTCTAGATCAGACAAGCCATTGGCTAGATATCCTTATTCGTTTACCAATTGTTTTAAATCTATGTATAATCGTGTGATTGTTGACGGGAAGTAGTAAGATGGGGCTAATAGTATAAGAGCGTCAGAGAGAACTACGAGAATGTGATTTTTTCACGCAAGATTATGTCAGCATCGCATGAAAATTCTTAGTGGTATGTGATCAGGTCGATATACGGTGGTGGTAGAGCGCAACGAGAGTATCCACCGGCCAGATAGAGCGGCCTTCACCACCATACCATTCAGCGACTTCTTCCGGAATACCAGGTCGTTGATAAACATTCGTCATAATGAGAACGGGGATTCCTAAGACGAAGAAGGCAGCAGTGGACAGCAGCATATTGTTATGTGCGATCCATCCAAGATATGACGTTCACTTAGATTGTGATTATTGCTATGTCGAGTTCACCGTCCCTAGGGTCACAACAATATCAATGGAATCATCACATACCCATCCGAGTAGTCGCGCTATCCCAAATGACTCAGCACTACAAAATGTGAGCAAGACCTATCCCTTAAAAGAACAGACCCATCTCCCCCACATTGACAACCACCCCAACCAAAGGTCTACAACAGTATACAAGGAGAAACGAGTTTACGTGAAGTGGTATAGATACTGTTCGGACGTGGTAGTGGTGGTGACGGCTGATGAATCCTTGCCTCGCAATGACGATGATGATACACAGTAAGAGGAATCACTTGAAGTCCCTTTGGAAGTCATAAGTATCGTCATCATCCATCGCGGTGTCAGATGCCTAAAGAGTAGTAGATGGAGCCGCCTTGATACTCTTCATATAACCTCACCTCCATCTGCTCTGCTTGTTGCCTCCTCTCCTTCTTCCCTTGGTTACGTTTCACTTCCTTCGTCTTTTTCTTGATATCGCGATTCACACGCGGGTTCAATCCCGTGAATATCCGTTTTTCCACTTGCGGCCCTGCCGGGGTCTTCTTCTCCTCATTAGCCTCGTCAATAAGAATCTAACACCAACTCCGCCTCCTCTTCCATCACGACCGACCTCAACACGACCCACCGGTGCTTCCTCCTCCTCATCTTCATCTCCCTCCTCCTCGCTGCTATCAGTATCATCCATTAGCATATCGACTCCCATGTCACCACTCTGAGCGGCGTGATTAGCCGAACCGTTCAACTCCACTCCGGCCACCGCTTCCGCACTAGTATCAGCCTAACACAACGACGATCGACTCTCGAGGGGGGTTGAGCCTGCTTGCCCTCCTTACCTGGCTGAACAGCGCGTCAATGTCAAACTCAGGGCTGGCAGCGGCAACCACCTTGGCAAAGACCTTGCCCTTATCAGTCGCAGGTGGCATGCAGAAGAATCTGATGGAAAAAAGAGTAAAACTATACACTTCCACGTATCCCTACCGCAGCCGTCCAGTTGTCCACTCCCTGAGGACGTCCTTAGCCCCCTGACGAAAGTCAGGGGCACCACCCCGACGGAGCTTGCCTCGCGTCCGACATACATGTCCGACCAACTCGGTCACCGACTCAAACGCAGGCATCTACCAAGAGCGTGGAGGGAAATATGCACATGGTCAACCACATATGTTGGTCACAATATAGAAATTCTCATTGATTTCTGAACGTTTCTACCCCCATTCGTATGTAAACTTCTATTATTAGTGAGGAAACTCCTACGGCCAGCTGAGGAAAGTGGACATATATTCCAACACTGTCTACCAATATCGTCACGAGATGCACCCCCCCCCCCCCCTTCCCTCAGTAAACTCACCCTGAAGTGCTTCAACACGGCATTCCGAGGTGTCCGCTTCACCAACGCTTCCACCACCGGCATGGGGTCCTCAAGGGCGTCCACGTTCACTGACTGCCGTATAACCTGACCTCACCACGATAACAGTAAATAGATAGAAGCCTCTACTACCAAACTAGAAGTGTTACTAGCAGACTCTTCAGTGCCAGAGAATATCACACCAGGGCAGTCCAGAAGGCTGACCTAAAATACACTATAAGTAAATTCCAGCAGTGCTGTCACCAGTGCTCACCGTCTTGTCAATCTGAACCTCCTGCATCTGTTTAGTGATACCAGCACGATTTCCAGTCTTGAGATGCACACTCTTGCCTCTCTTCATAGAGTTGATAACAGAGGACTTACCAACATTGGGGTAGCCGACTATACCGACGCTAATGCGACCAGTACCAACACCCCTGAGGGAAAGTAGAGGAGGAATACACCAATCAAGGTAGACGCATAAAAAAACCTGCTACCTAGCGTAGTTCTTCAACAGCTGTAACAAAGCATCGCTTCCGATGACACCATAGCTGGATTTTAGTAACCCCTCGGAAGCAGTCTCAGCGGCGATGGCTCTACCTGTTTGACCTATGGCACAGCACATGACCCAACGAAGTACCCTCTATGTCTCTTACGGTCCCCAGATGTCCTAGCAGCCTTGAATGCAATAGTAGGGAAGTCCTTACGGAGGTAAGCCAACCACGCCTGCACTGCTTCCTTAGGGACGAGATCTGAGATATTCGAGAGTATTCATCAACCTATACCAAACATGATGGAAATTACCAATCTTATTGAGTAAGAGAATGACCTTCTTGCCGTTGGTCAGTACCTCTTCCTCGAGACTCTTACATCGACAACTCATAGGATCTCTGGCGTCCAACACCTTCCATGGCACGCTTCCTCAGAAATGACAGAGGCGATTCTGCTTACCTCAACAACGACATCAGCCATTCCCATCACTTTCCGCAGCTCCCTATAGTACGCCCTCCGAGTGTTCTGCGCCTAAGGAGCGGAGCAGTGGGAGGGGACTATGCACATGGTCAACCACATGTGTTGATAACATTATGAAAATAATAAGAAAATTTCAGAAAATTCTTGTTGGTTTTTGCTCATTTCCACCCGAATTCATGTGTAAACTCTTATAATTATCGAGGAAAGCAAAGATATATTACAACACTGAAGGGGTAGAAGGGTTGCACCAATGAGGACCCTCCTCTTTCTTGTCAAACTACCTCCTTTGAGTTGGTTCCTAGATGGGTGACACTGTGCATGTCCCGCACAGAGGAAGACGAGCCAATGAGGGCATCAGCCGATCTATCGTAGAGCCTGCCAACACAATGTCCGCTTTCGTCCCATGCTCCTATATCACCTCGTGCGTCGCTCCGCCTCGGATTTCAACTCAGCGAGAGACTTCACTATCTTGTCCTGATTCTTCTTAGATACCACTGGCTGGACAGGAAGGCCCTACCACATACAGCATTCAGTTATTAATACCACACCAACCGCAAATGCCCTACTTTCTTGCGTAGCTCTCTCTCGCGTTTCCTGTTAGGCTCCACCTCCTCCTTCCGCTTCTGCATATCATTCAACACCTACACGAAGGACCTCCCCTGTACTGAAGACACTTTAATGATAGGGCTAACGTTGATTTGCAGATGTGATTAAAATATATATAAATATTATGTAGTATTATGTATAGATGGTATTAGTATAGAATCATCTTATCCCGAGATCTCATTGAGTCTACCTCCTGCTTAAAAGGCCAGCTATTAGGGATGCCAGGATCTCTCCTCTTCTTCGATACTACAACTCCGACTTTCTTAGCCACCCGAGCTTGCTTCTTCACTTTACGGTTGTGCTCTTTGACCTGCCAATAACAACAATGGCGACCACTGAGTAGAGTACCAATATGCAACCTTCTTTTGAATGTTATATTTCCTATTCAGCGTTTGTCTCCTCGAGGGCTTCTTAATCTTCATGGTGAGCAAGTGACAGAGACAACCCGGAAATAGAGGCTATGCGTAACCATTCGACGAACCACTTCAACTCACTCCATTGACAAGGTACGTGGGAGAAACGTTACTCGATACAAGAATAGTGCCTCAGACGGTCGATAGGGTACATCTGGCTGTAGCGGGGCTCAGGTGAGATGATGCGCCGCCTTATTTAGTACGCAGCTTCTTCTTGTTGGCAGACTTTCTCTTGCCCTTCTTCTCAGTCGGCTTCGATATCTTCCGCGCGGCCTCAGCCGCAACAGCCGCTCGCTTCTTCTCACGCCTCTGGAGCACAAACGGGTGCATCACAAGCCATAGATGCCCGGTTCGATTCCTACCTCCTCCAGTTTTCCCACAGGGACCTCAGACAGCTTTAGCTTGCCAACGTCGTCATCCTCTTCTTCCTCCTCCTCATCAGCGGCCTCCTCGAATCGAACCCGTTTAGTACCCTTCTTCTCAGCCTTCTGCTTCTCCTCCGGTGCCGTAGCCCCGGCCGCCCACACTGGAAGCATTATAGAGTCCGTACTCTGTACGCCAACACTGAGGATCTTCCTTTTCACCGAGAGCATGTCACTCGACAGGTTAGCAAGGACGACCTTCGCGTTCTCGACAAGGTCCCTGTGGAAGTAAATCCCCCGTAGCACGCAAGTACAAGATTCGCCTACTCCTTCGCCATAGACGTGTTGCCAATACGAACGCTAATGCTCGCTCCAGTGCTCTTACGATAACGTGTACCTTCCAAAGGGAATAAATACTGGCAATGATACCCTTCCCAGGGGAATACTGTTGAGGGCCTTCTCGATCTGCTTAGTAGGATCGACATTGGCTGACGTGGGCCACTTGACGGGAACCCTAAAGCGACCGGGAGCATGACTTTGATACCAAATTTCGCCGAAATTACGGTATCTTCTGCTTCTTATGGTGGAAGAAATACTTCCCAAGGAGGTTGGGTAGCATGTCAGATACGGAAGAGTCACAGAGGAACACATCATGGGCGTTGGCGAGGTCCCGAAGGAGCTCAAAACGAGCTGCGTATCTATAGTAGCGTAGACGATGACTCTAGTCGGGAAGGGCCTAAGGGTTCTCGAACCCCCCTACTACTACTTTGACCGGAGGGCCTTGATTGTGACTATCTTCTGAATAGGTAGGTTGTATCTGTATCATCCAAAGAGCCAGTTGAGATACCTCCCAAGGGGTTGCGTACTTCGCGACGAGCTTCTGAGCTGTCTGTTTTGGGTCCCGTGCGATGAGGCAAACTGTGAGGCCCTCAACGCCGTTCTTGCCGTGAATAGAGTGAGGCACTTGTCTGAGAGTAATGCCTTTCCTGACGAGCCCTTCCTCATAGAAAATACTACATCAGTCGATATTTGTTGTCGGCCTTCCCCTGTATCTTATCAACATTGATCTGTAGAGTGACGGTATCGCCGGCCTCCTCAGCCAATAGGTCCTGGGTGGCCTTCTCAGCTGACTTCTTTGCAGAATATCTAAGGTTCAACCGTGTAAGATCTGGATCATGTCCGATACTTGTCCGGAGTTTCACTGCAACGCTCTGATAACGGTAACCAGGTATGTCAAACTACTGTATGGAAATTTGAGTATTTTCCGCGACGCACTCCGGACGGCAGTGAGAGCATTTGAACATTTCGTCAGAGTCTAAATTTTCCCATGGAAGATAGCAGCAAGATCTGTGACGAGCATATAGGAGCTTTCGACGTACTTTAGTAGGGCGCTGACTGCTTTGGGCAGCTGCGAGTTGCAGGCCTGTAGAGATGACTTCTCCATAGGTGCCAGATCAATCGATTACTTGGGCGCGCGCTAATTGAGGAAGGAACGGCTTTACGTCACGTGGTTCGTATATAGTTGAACCGCCGTGGGAAATGCAAAAGGCATGTGAGATGGTAACGAGCCTCTTGACGGCCACAGCGCCGGTTCAGAGATGTCCATATAGTACGATGAACGTAGGATACCATCTATGGTTGAGCTCAGGTCGATCTGAATGTACCCCCCACAGGTCCACCTCCTGAAGCTGCTGCAACGAGAAGGTTTCATACGGGGATTTGTAGTAGAGGGTAATCGTATTAACATCCTCCTCAAGAGATATCAATGTGGGCTACCATAGGGCAGTCCATTCGAAAGGCTACAGAGTTGCTCAGTTGCCCCCGTGATACGCAACATTCAAGTAGTGTCGAAGCCTAGTCGGGACATATGGCTGTTGCCTCACGAACTGAAGGAGCGCACTGGGTGAGGGTGTGAATGGGCTTTCTGTACCGACTAGGATGGGGCTCAGGATGAACACAGGGACGTGGATAATGCAGACTCCAGAGGGGTTCATGACACATCGGGAGTGCATCGAACTGGGGGTGGGGGGCAAGGTTATATTTGCTATCAACAATGGCGCTCAGAAATGGTGTTGATGATCGTGGCGATGGGATCATGTTTCTGTTCGCTTTGGGCCTGTTTCGTATCTTAGTCGGTCACCTCGGGTGAAGAATCTTATAGTACATTTTATTTTTCCATGTCGTCATCGCCTGACCAACCGTCACTGACATCCGAAGATACTTCTATGGGAAATACCAACGTTGCTGCCGCTACTAGCAACGAAAATACCCCAGCCGAGGATGGGACCTGGGTCGTGCACGTGCGAAGAATGAACGGTTCCACACTCACCTATAACGTGAACCCACACACCGAGACCGTGGCGGATCTCATGGATCGGATACATCGGGAGGTAGACCAATTGTTGTAGTTGTTTAGTCTACCGTCTCCATTCAGGCAGAGATCGATCCCATGCTGCAACGCCTCATTTTTAGAGGTCAAGTCATCTCCCACGAGCCTCACAAACACTTGGATGAGTTCCTCACAGAGAGCGGCCAGACGATCCACATGGTGGTAAGTCGCCAGAGGGGGGGGGGGTATTCCATGCAGTAGTATAAGCCTGTAGGTAAGGCCAGTATCAACTCTGAGAAATGCTACTGCTAATTCATCTACCACACCAATGACAGCACCTGAATCTGCCACTGGAGGAGGGGGAGGAGGCAACAATGATGTTCCTCCGCAAATAGGTAGTGTTAGTAGTGATGAACTAGAGTCATGCTCTACCGTTGCGTTCTCAGGGAACATATTCAGCGCTATGCTGCCTCCTGGCCTCCTTTCCGGCAGTGGTCAGTTTGTGATCCCTGGGGGAGTAGGTGGCAACGATGGTGCGCCCGGTTCCACCCAGGTTTTCATGCACTCTTTTCACTTAGACCCAGCCACTGGGCAGGTAACAGAATGTGGAGCTCTTACATCATACTTGTCTTGAGCGCTTTTCGTGTAGATCGTTGGTGACGATCACCAACAGCAAGGCGGAGCGATACCACTTCCCTTTGGGGGCATCTTCGGCAGATCCCCCATGCCCTCTGGGGCTACTAGTAACGACCTCTCTCTCACTCTATGCGGAGTACTAGTCTTTCCAGATGCCAATCCACAGCCACCATCGGGCGACTCATCTACCTCGGCTCCGAGAAGGTCGACTCCAACTCCAACGACCCCTGGTCCTTCCGACCAAGAGGTGACCTACTGCTTGCCTGCTAACACTAATAACGCCTTCGTCAGGCCTCAAACACTAGTACCGCTCAAGCGCCGGAGCCTACAACAACTACCAGTGGTGGCGGCAATGGAGTGTAGGGCGCATACTTCTCATGGTCAGTGAGAGATTCATTCTCATGTCAGACAACAGATGATAAGTGGCCTCTCCCAGCTCTTCGGGAATCTGGCATCTGCTGGTCAGCAGCCTGCTGCTGCTGGAGGAGGAGGAGGCTCCGTCACAGCTACCTTCTCCACCCCTGCCGATGGGAGACCATCTACTCCCCCTTCTCGCCCACGTTCGCAGTCAGCACGGCTGTAAGAGGGGTATCTTTGGGGTTAAGTGAGATGTGCTATTCAGACCGAGAGGAGGCGAGAGCAGCGCAAGTAGGAGTCAGGATGGACGTACGAGAGGCAGAGTATTCACAAGGCGTAGGTTTCTGCGTACACGTTCTAGTGAGGACCTCAAGGTGGTGCTGGTAGGTGCTACGCGTCCATCTGCAACGACACAACAGCGGTCGACAGGCAGTGGCGAGGCTGTGATGACAGATTCTAGTAGGCCTGTTGTGGTCCTAGCAACTGGTGTGCATTTTGCGGTATTTTGATCAGATCGTATTCCTGTTAACTCCCAACAGGCTCCGGTCAGCCGAGCTCATGGTGCGCGGGAAGAAGACTTGCAACGGAGGGCTGAGCAGACCCCTGGCCTGCCGTGGAGAACTCTCATCGATTCTGACGCTCGTGTGGATCACCTCATGAGTCGTAGGCAGATCTCAGTAGTACTCAGTTTACACTTTTTCTATCAGATTTAGCGCAACTGCCCGGCCCTCGGCATTATCGTGGCAGTGACGACTTGCCTACTTTTTTGCGTAACTATCAGAGGTTGTTACTCTCGGCAGCCCAGATGGTTGGTGATGTCAGCCTGATGGTAATACCTTCATCACCAGCATTAGCACCAGTGTCGTTTTTCAGCTGCAGAGTGATGCATCTAGAGGCTCGGACTCGCCCCCGAATCCGCAGAGACAGGATGATTTGGCCTATGTAGGGGCTGTTGAAGGGGGGAAGCGCTTGAGGTGATGCTGTTGCCGTCCCTCAGTTGGCACGAATGCTGGCGGAACTCACCGACACCAGCGAGATGATGGTCTCGGTTGTGAACAGGACGTGGTGTGACATGTTCGACCCAGAGGGCCAAGGCCAGGTACGGACTAGAGAGCAAGAGGATGCCACTCAGACGGAGGGCCGGACTAGTGAGGTAGTTGAAGACTCACTGAGCACGGAATCATGGTGGTCGGTTAGGCTACTGAGCCATCAGCACCTTCGTTGACGCCTTATAGACCCACGGGGGCTGCTGAGGTGGACTTGACTTCTGAGCAGGGTCGGCCTAGTGAACGGCGTGAAGAAGATCGACAGCGTGGCGTAGAGCATGTGGAGGAAGCTCATCGGTCAGCACGACTAACGGATGAGAGTGTTGGTCAAGAAGGGGCGTCAGAGGGGTCCACTGAACAAGCGCGTAAGAGGCAGCGACGGAATCAATAGTAACTAAGTCGGCGTGTGACGATTGAGGAAATTAGGCTTGTTGTGTTCCCACCAGTGTCACCATGAAAGGGACCTCGTGAATGTACTGTGTGATTAGGTCAACAGCACGGTGATGGGCAATCTTCTGTGATAAGATTCATGCCCGCCGACCAGGACGGGCCTTCGGTTGCTCATAGAGTAGAGGAGATTGACGCCGGAGAGGTGGTTTTAGAGGTGAGGAAGGCACTTGGCCATAGCTGGTGAAGGTCTTGTCGTAGGAGCCCCGGAAAGTGCCTACGGGGTGCGTCATACCGCTCCCTGACAAAGTACAGCAGCCGATCAGAGGCTGCGATGAGGTGGTTGCTGCAGCGGGGGATGATGGTGTCTCTGGGGAAGATGCTAATACATCTAAAACGGTACTCTCGTGGGAGGACTATGTTTCGTAATCGTATCGACAAGTGCGGCATTGTGACAGTATTGACAAGACTTCCTTTTTCAGCTCACTACTGCGGAGCCTCTATGCAGCTCGGAACATTCTTCATCGCCATCACATCAACACGCGGCAAGCCAACGGTAATGGTAGAGCGGTTGAGCTCATCCCCTCGGAATTCTCTGGTGCTCGTTCTAGGTTGTCGGGAGACCCTCGAGGGACGGATGGAGAGGAGCAGGCGGGTCAACCCCCAGGGGGCATCAATCTAGAGGATGTGAACGCTTTGTTGGGGTCGGCAGCGGAAAGGCTATCCGGTGATCACCAGCAGCTCTTGGGTACTATATGGGGGATTTCAAGGGACGCTGGGCATTTCTTGCAATGTGTATTCTGAGTTGTATTGACATGAATGGCTCGTGAAAACAATTGTCCTGATCAGATCTAAGTTCGGAACTGTCGTCGAGATTCCCTGAGCTGCGGGCTCTTCTGGAGGCCGCGACCTCGCCGTCTAGAAACGATAGTAGCCATCAGCACGACTCATCCCAGAATCACGAGCCTCATTAGGATAGTATTTTTCATCACCTTATGCTGAAGTAGTGATACTTCCGTGTCTTGAACATTCCGCCGTTACCGTTTCATCAGCGTGCCCTTGTCGGTTTAGTTGTGACCATAGCTCCCTTTGAACTATGTATTAGTATTATTCCAATTCCCAGTATGTCACCCATATGTGGAGGCTTGAGCGAGGCGAGACCTGTCAGTGATTCGGTGAGGCGCTTGTGTGAACAGCTCCGCCCAGCCATGGAACAGAGCAACAAGGCGAATACCGCTTTCAGTGAGTTCGAGCCAATATCATACAAGAGCCAGGTGAGGCCGTGTAAGGGGCGACTCTCTCTAGGGCTGTGTCGGAAATTCGATTGGCATGGGCGATGCTGTGGCCTTTCAAAGCCGCTTGGAATTTCTGGTTCTGCTACAGGTGGTTGCTGGCACCAACTACTTCGTTAAGATTAAGGTCGGCCCGGAAGCTTTCGCTCATGTTCGGATTTTCCAGGTGAGCTGCCGTCGTAGGGACGGAATGATGGCAGGTCTGTTTGTTGATCAGCCGCTACCTTGCAATGGTAGCAATCCGGAGCTGAGTAGCGTGAAGTGGGATGTGGGTCAAGGAGACGACATTGCCTATTTCTGATGAGTGCACTCCTGAGGATGTCTATCTCACCATTGTCGCCTGCTGTGCACAAACCTTTTTGTTGGGCCTCTTAGTGTTGCGCAGTTGGTAGCGTTGGCTCCAGAAATGGCCGATTAAATGCATTTAGAGATGAGCTCGAGTCTCTTAGCTGCTCAGGTGATGTTGTTGAAATCTTCTCGATGTCAGTCGCTTACCTGCACTTCTGCATCACGACGGCTGTTCTCTCACAGCTGTCCTGTGTCCGAGGACTCCTCATCATCATCATCGAGTTGTAGCAGCTGCCAGACAGGTTGCGGGGGCTCGACTTGTAATAATCTCTTTCTCTCTCCTATAGCAGGATAATTATGGTAGAGCGAGTGATAGTAGTACTAGGTTCAGTACTCGCAGTCTATATTACCACCCCTACGCTCTTTCTGATATGACGCTCAGTCTTCCCGTCAGGGAATCTGGGAGACGAGGATGAGCCCGCCTCGAGCAACCCTTACGTTCAGTGGTTCGACCTCCATATGAATAACAGGGCGATCACTCGAGGGTAGGGCGTCGTCTGTCACTCGGTCATCTCATCTCCTCAACTTGGCAGTTTCAAGTTTGACCGCCACTTCGGAAGTCCGTCGGAGCTGGACCCGCTTTATGTCGTGGAGCTCGACAACTTAGCTATGTGCACGCAAAAGACCAACTTTCTCAATCCACTGCTGAAAGCTAAAGTCGGGTTTGTGGAATTTCGCTCCGCTTACTGGCTTCAGATTATCCGCCTTCTACGTGATTTCGGTAACAAGAAGGACGTGGAACGCTACGCACGTTATGTAATGCAACGGCAGAGGAGTAGGAGCAGCACGGAACTACCGAGGGTCCTCTCGAGTGCATTCGTAATGACTCATGATTTAGCCGACAGTCCTGCTGTAATTGTTGTCACTGGCAGCTACCAGAGAAGGAAGAGGACAAGGAGAAAAGTCGACTTGATCGCATAACCAAAGGCCAACATTTCCAAGAGTTGAAACATACCATGCCGGAGCTCTTCGATGTAGCCTATTGTGCGGATCTCTTGATACGCATGATGGGTCTTTCTCAGCCCGAGAGGTCCCAAGAGATTTCGGAACTGCAGCGGTTGTCCATTGCTCATGCTGAAGATAGTCGTCATCGACTCTACCAGCAGTTCTACTCCCCTGAGGCTGCAGTTGCCTATCTGGCTCATCGGTAGGCTGCCAGGTGTCCACTCAAAACTTCAGCTCGACCTCATAGATTCCCTCCGGCTTATGCTGTGAATTTTCGAGTACTTCACGAGGTTATGAAGAGATGTCCAGACTTCAAACCAACGTAGTGTTACTTTTGTCATAGCCTCAGACTTTCGTTAGCTTGCTAAGCCTCCGATCAGATCCATACTGGATTATGGCTCGGGTCCAGCACCATCAGTGTGTGCCGCAGCAGATGTATGGGGACAGAGGCTGATCAAACGGGTCATCTGTGTCGAACCGAGTTTACACATGAAGCAGATGGGCAAGTGAGCAGCAAGCCATAGGAATGCATTCTTCCCGCACAAGTTCCGTAGGACAGGTTTCATATGTACTGTGACTGTATGAATTACAGTTTGGAACTATCACGTTGTGATAGTTATATACTGTCTCGTCCTAACCAACCATCAAGCTAAGTTTTTAGTTTTTCTTCACAGTCTCGAATGACCCTGCTTGGCAACAATTGACTCGCAGTTTGTTGATTCGAAAGATTATTAGTTGGCAACTGCTGCTGCCGAGGCAGCTGCTGACACTTTCAACTTAATTTTTCTCCGACGAGAATCATGTGTGGCACTCATCCATTCGACGGGTTAGGTACATACTCTCCGATTACTCTGCTAACGTCGAGTGGAGCTCTCAACTGTACGATGGCAAGAATCAGAGGCAAAGTATCATTACTGTTAGCTATGTTCTGATGCACCTGAAGGGACAGGAGGCCCGCGATCTGCTGGTAGTTGGTGTCGAACAGCATCCTTTGGATCATTCGAAGGCTCCCTTCAATCCTATGAGGGTCCGCTCTGGAATCCTGATGCGTTCTGTCGGGCCGATATCATTGCTCCTGTATCCGTGGTCCCAGATACGGAATCTATGGAACCGGTTAGAAGACGGAGGAGTGTTGGTCGTCATCGAGGCCGGGACGCCGACTGGTTTCCGATTCATCCATCATATTCGAGAGTTGTTCATTATGCAGCTCCCGTGAGTTTGACTTTCTTATGCAGCTCCCTCCAGCGACCCTTCTCTCAGGAATAAAGCTTTTCACTTCGTGGCGCCCTGTCCTCATGAGTCTATGTGCCCTCTGGCCACCACTGGAAGAGACTGGTGCCACTTCCATCAAGGCGTGTAAGTTGTGTATTCGCTCTCGCCTTCACGTTGACCTCTGCTCATGCCGGCCCTTCTAAAGCGTGACGAGCTCAATCTCTTGAGGTTCTTTCCATACCTAATCACTCGTTTCGCTCCACCATAAGAACGAGCTCGCAAAAATCGCATGGGATGTTATTATTTCTGTCAGGAAGAGACTTCCCCACTACGTTTATAATAAGGGTTCTCAAGCGCGGCATGTTGAGTGGGAAAAGTTCAGCTTCTTAGTGGTCAGGAAAGGAGAGGGTGAGCTCCTTCATCATGCCACCCTGGAATGCTCTCCTCGATCTCAGGTCCACGACAAAAGTACAGCAAGGAAGAGGATGCGCTGACCGCGGCCGAAAGATCCTATTTTTGGCCGAGACTTCTCATGCCTCCGATAAAGGCTGGTGGCCATACTCTAGTCGATGCTTGTAGTGCCCCGAATAACTTTGAGAGGCTCTCCGTCTCCAAAGCCAAGCCACACACTATGGGGTGAGCTTACCTACCTCTCAACTTGCTCATCTTTGTGAACGGAATGCATGTACCTCTTGTCATCCACAAACGTATAATGTATCCAATAACGCACTATTGTAACACATGTCTGCAGTGTGGCAATTGTCTTGTACCGGTTCGGATGATGCTAGACTCAACGCTACGTCACTAGTTGGCAGTAGTAACGGTGCTGCCCTCGGTAATTTGGTCTGTCCGTAGGTATAGATTCTCCCGTAAAGTGATGTGGGGAGACCTGTGGCGCTTCCCGAAAAGAGTCAATCGTCGTAACGCTCGGGAATACGTGCCCGACGAGACCAAGCGGCATCTAGAGCGTCTGGCGAAAAAAGCCTATGAGAATATACGCGGTAAGAAGGGCCGGGAAGTGGGCACCACTAAGGAGGAGTTCAAAGAAGAGAAGAGAGATGAGTCACTACACTATGGTAAATGACATTGGATGCATGATCTTGATGATGTTTCAACGAACTTGAAGTTTCTGGAATCGACAGCTTTTCGTTTTCGGAAATTGCTCACTTCTCCTGATGGAATTAAAGGTATCCAAGCGCGTTAAAATTTCACGTCTACTGACGGGAATTGACGAGATATGACAGTACGAGAGAAAACAACGAAACAGGTTAAGATACGCTGGACCTTGTCACGGCATTATCATGGTGCCAGTAATACATTCTATTGCGGTGTGTACTCAAGTTCTGTCGTGACAGTATCTGCCAGAGCTTGTTCGAATTGACCATTGAAGAGAGGTTATGTTAACAGTATCAGAGCGTCCGGTTCAGAAAACCACACGATTGTATAGTTCGATGAAGTTGATAGACGTCTGTATCGAACTCAATTCTAATGTATTCACCAAGAGACACTGTATAAACATAGACCCTGGCACGGACTTGCCCTCTAGAATAGTAGAGATAATTAACTGTTTGTCAGGGGATTCTTGGCCAAAATACGAATTGGTCTTAGTACGGAGGGCGACCTGGTGATGATTGTACTTCGAGTAGAAAGCATTACAGCGTGATACGTTACTTTCGAATGCATCCAGTACTCGACAGTCTTGCTCCCCGAGATCTTCTCGGGAAGATATCCCATTCCACTTGCCTTGAGAAATTCTCATACCCATATCACCACAGGCTTTGTTTGTGGGGATCGGACTGAGTGTGCCGCAATAACACTTGCCAGTATCCCAGTCACAATGGAAACCACCAATGTGGGCGTATCCATGCAAGGCATAAGGATGTATCCGCAGGGTTGGTAAGCGTCGGACGCGAGCATCCGATGAATGGAAGATAATAGAATTACGAACACTGCGCGACCTTCCTCAGCACAACACGAATGATTTCAAAGACAAGAAATAGATGCTATCATCTCACATGTCAGTCATGAGATCTACTTCCTCGGATTCCGCTGCCGACGTGTTTTTGTTGCTCGATAGAAAGGCACAGCGTCCGGATGCCTGATGATATGATAAAGTATACCATTCAGTAACGCCACATACCTCATCCTAGCTCTCGCATCTTCCAAGCTGTCGAACTGTTCCCCCGCATCGAGCTGCGGACTATTCAGATTATCCTGCTTATCCATGCAAGACCGAACCGCCGTTGGAAAGCACTCGTTTACCTTTTCCGAGGCATTATCGCTTCCGATCATGAATGACGCTTCCCCATACTCCTGAAAATAAGCTGACTCCAACAATGCGACTTTCCTTACCTTCAGGAACCAGACCGCGAAATTATCCAGCAGGTCTCGTTTATTCTCAGCAATTTGCTTCCAGCAATGTTGGAGTTCCTCCTGCAATTCTCCGTACCTTACCATCATACTGCGATACCTGAATACGCTCGATAGATGTCTTGGTGCCAAACAGCTAAAACCCCTTCTTTGCTTCAGCCAGATCTCTCAGGATACGATACTCGTCTTCGTCCAGAATGATGTTCCCAGAATCGTCCGCCTCACGTTCTGATCCGAGGTCTGCAGAGGAGGTGGTCCAGAGTGCAAGGACAGCCTCTCACCTTGGAAACGCGAAAGTTCAAGTTTCATTCTATCGATCTGATCAATAGTCGAGTTGGAGCTACTAGCAAGGGCCCGGATCGCAGATCGTAGCTGAACTCCGATACAATAGGAGACAGTATGGAAGCGTACCTCTTTAGCGCGGGCAGCGAGAGCCCGATGACGATCATCGTAAGCGTGGCCGTGTTGTTTTCGAAACTCAGCGTAAGCCTGACACTGTAAGATGCCGAGTGACCATCGAAGAGCATTTACAGTTTGCCGAGAAGGCGCGGCTTCAGCACTCTGCTTCCTATGACCAGCCGTCCTAGTATCACCACTAGCCTCAACTGGGCACGACTACTCACGAGCGATACAGATGAAGATGCGGACTCACTATGCTCGGCATCGACACGAGGAGGAGCCGCAGCACCATCGTCACCAGCCAATCCAGCAGAGAATCCCACCCCATCTCGCACCTCTTCACCGACCTGATGATGGAGGTATTTTCGAGAGAAGCAGGACTAGCGAGCCGCCGACTTTCCCAACCGTCTCTTCCTTTGAAGGCATTGGAGTCTCGACCTTCTCGCTCACGCCACTCTTGGCCTGCTCAGGACCAGCTTCCTGGGTCGCCTTCAATGTCAATAGCTCGCTAGATATACTCTGATATCTATCGGATCCGAGATGGTTCACGATGTGAGCTATAGGAGCGCCTCACAGTCGTCGAACTATCTTGAAGGCCTCCGTGACTTGCTGGATGGACTCCACTTCGAAGTCTGCATCTTCCCCCTTGAGAAATCGCACCACCCGTTTCTCCAGTTCTTCGACCTCCTCCGGGCTGTAGTCGTCATATCTAAGGCATTCCTTCTCATCAGTGATTGTTATGGACTTGTGTCGATGAAGTTCGTTAAGCAACACTAAAGATGGACTGCTCACCGGACCGTATGGCGTCCTGCTAATATGTCGTGCATTCCCAGCTCCTGTTGAAGCTGCTTGATATCCTTCTCGTATTTCCTCAGTAACATGATCGGGTCCATGTCGACGTTAGCACCAGGAGAGTTCGATACGCATCTCACCCGACTGGCGAAGCGAAGCGTGCCTACGGGTCACCACTCTCTCGCTGGATAAATGCCGTTTCCTATACCGCGTCTTACTGGCGGTCTCCTCAAAATGCCTAGCTTCCGGCCATATGGCTGCAATGAGGACGGACCCTGTGAGAAGATGGTCAGAGCCAGAGCTGTACAGAGTGTACTGCAGTTTCCCCCTAGTGAATCTTTGAGGAGGTAAGTGAGCTTAGACTGTCTATAAGGGACGTGCTCCCTGTTCCTCGATGCCAAAGCAAGGACGACCTGGCAACAGAGAAGGAAAGGAGGACGACGACGCGTGAATGGTACTTGTTCCAGATAGGTGCAACTCTTATTGATGCTGCTGACTTCCATCCTACTGCTCCCCGATGGTGACACGGTGACACCCTGATATCATCGATCACGGGGCGACTCGACTTTCCGTTTTCGGTGAAACCTTCGTTCGTTCGCTTCCTGCCAGGTCCACAAGATGAATTTTCGAGTAGATTATTTTCTCTGCTGAATCGAGCTTGCTGCGGCTTGACACGTATCTTGTTATTCATTCTTCCCACTACATGGACAACAGCAGCTTTCCTTACACTGTGAGGATGGTATGACTCCGTGTGCTCCTTTTATTGCTCATAGTCTCGCCCATAGATCGATTACTCTCGCCAGAATAGAAGGCGGCGAGGGCGTCTTCCTCACCTTCAACAGGAACTCTGCGTAGGCCTTTGACCTGACAAGCTAGTGCTCCCACACAGGTGTCTATTGCGACTGAGACAGTCTGTGAATGATGATGAACAACATTATGAAGGGAGCACCTGAACGCCCTGCTTGAGGTCCTCATACATAGTTAGATCGCTTGTGATGGAGTCGCCCGGACGAATATCGAGATTGGCAGTTGCCAGTAAGTCCGAGAGTGCCTCGTTGTAGATTTCGAGGTATCTAACAACAATGCGGATCAACAGTTGAGCTTCTCATACGTCAAGCAGTCATACGATAGTTTGATGTCGATGATCATCGCTGTTCTCTCCTCCTTTTCCTTGAACAAGTCGGCTAGTACTCGTGGAATGATGCCGCGATGTTCATAGCTGCTCGTGCTCCCGACCATCGTGTATGTTTTACCAGCCCCCTAAGTAAACAGTATTGCCGATTCAAGCCACACACCTTCACATACAGTATGGCCATAGGCGATCACAGCACCATTAATTCCCTCGAAAGCTGAGCGGACGAGATCTCTAGCAGCATGCTTGTAGACCTCTTGCTGACTGAGTAACACCCCTCGAGGCAATGAACGACTCACTTCGTATACCTGCAGTTGACCAACAACCTGTCGACCTGAAAGTGCCATTGCTCGGTTTGATTATCAGCCACGCTGAGACTTCCGCCTTTTTTCTTCTCTACCACCTCGGGTGCTATGAGATCGATACTCTACAGTACGATAGAAGTGTGATTCATGAGGAAGCTGTTATGTTAATACGTCAGCTCCAGCATCGAATATGTAATGGTCCTTCGAAAAGTTAGATGTAGGCCGGGTACGCACGATAACCTTCACGTTGTTGTTTCGAGACGATACCATACAGAAGGTGCAATGTCTACTCAGTGGGATTCTTACTGCCGATAGCACACGTGATAGGAGAATGATCACCTATTGAACTTTTAGTTACCATCGATCGCGTTAACATTGACGTATAACACCAGCCAAATCGCTACTATTCGGATAGATAGGCTGAATACCACAGGAGAAGAGCTTCCTACTAGCCGTAGCTAGTGAGAGGGACAGATTGGGCCCGACAGATTCCACAGCACATGACTACCGGACGATAGAATGATCAATGAGATCATGCCCAATACCATGGATACAATACCAATCCTAGTTAAATATCGTCAATCACCGAGATTGACTCTATCTCTATGAGCGCTTGCATATAGTCATTCTAGTATTGTTCCCTATTGACGCATGATGAACACAAGGCGAAGGAGGGTACACTAGACTTCAGAAGAAGTCACGGTCTAGTTGGAATGAATATGCAATATGCAACTATCCCTAGAGACAGAACGGTCGGCTCCCTGCAGCAACACGTAGCAGCGATATAAGCCACTACTGGGTCCAGCTCGTCATCATCAATAGCACCAACAACATCAGATAATCTAACGGAGGCCGGTACATAAGAGGAGGCCTCGCTAGGCCCCACCAACCGTGGTGGTGATGATGAAGGCGGAGCAGAAGCCATTAATAATGAGCGGTTGAGACGCTAGTTAAGGCAGCAGAAGGATAACGACGAGGAGCACAAAACAACCAGGGAGAAGTAGCAAGGTGTTGCAACGGTTTCGGCCGCTGCGAATGCCAAGTGCAACACTGATAATGGCGTTCCGTAGATACGCCATAGAGTGGACAATCTCGACAGAAAAAAAGTAATATATGAATGTTTGAAGAATCTATTAGAAATGTGTGACACGTCTTCATCGAGGTGATCGTGTTGGCCTTGTATAAGCCCTGTTGAGCTCATAGTTCGCCTGATACTCAATGACGGTCGACCCTATGGTGATGGTGATAGCAAACGTGGTTATGCGCAAACTATACATAAAAAGTGCGCTACTTCCGAATCACGATCGTCGTCGTTTTTGATAACATAATCACAAAAGGTTACTAAGCAATGGTATCACATAAAAAGAGACGGTGTTGTACATAAGAAAAAGCATCGCAAAAACCAACAACACCAATACGTGCGTGTTGATGACAGCAATAGAAAGAGATCAGCGGGTTGCATATGGTACTCGTGGCATGATTCTGGTAAGGCTATTGCTACCACCTAGAATGATACTTAACAGTGGCAGCAACAGTATAAGACGCCCCTCATTGGACGCAGCGGCATGATGATCATCATGACCATAGTGGCATCAACCGAGGATAAAAACACTTATCGTGATCGAGACCAGAAGTAGGGCAGTCGTGTGGCACTGCTGGGGATTTGACTTCATCGTTTTCGAAGGCTCCACGTTGAGCACATATCGGCACTTCTTTACAATAGAGTGATTCGGAAGGTGGTTCTTCATAATAGCGAATGTGGGGCGACGTGAAGCTGTTGCCTCGCGATAAGCCAGAGTCTTCATCACCAGCTGTATTAGAATGATCGCAGCCGTCAGTAATACTATAGCACGAGATTGGGTCCGGACTATGCTCAGTCACCTCCCTGGAAGGAGACTGCAAGTAACTGAACAATAGCATATCGTCAATCACTACACACACCATCAGTGTTGTTGAACTCGCAAGTTTCCTCATCAGCTCAAGGAGTTCATATACGAACTCACTCAGGAATTTTCAGAAACCAACAAAAACTTCCGAAAAAAAATAACATTTTCCTATTTTCCCATCATCAGAAACACCATAGACTCACCTTTTCGGGACCCATCCCTGTTCACCCGTACTAGGACGTATCACTAACGACCACTGACCATCATCGGTTACGCAGCTGCACCTGAGGTGTGGAGGCCCACTTGGAGAAAAACAGACCTAAGTGCGGTACTGGAAAACCTGTCCAGCCGATATTTCCAGCATCTTGTCAGCAAAAGCCCCGTATGGGACGAAATCGCATATTGCTTCGCAATTAGCTGATGCCAGTCTGAAGATATCAACGACTGATTTGATCCAAGATGAGAACAGCGTACTCTTCAACGTGTATATGCTCTAGGGAACTGTCAGCAGGGAGAGAGACCTTATCGGGAGTGATAGAAGTCATCATATCCGAGCGATTGGAATAATTGTCGAGTTGCTGCCGACCCCCTATGCTTCTATGAGCCCCTGTAACCTGCATGCAACCAGATATGTACCTTGTGAACTACAACCTAGTATCACCGTCGATGTAGTAGAGGAACAAGCGACTGCCGAACGGTCTCCGTGGTCATCCACAACCCTAGCCGGCGAAAACATGAGCAACTCTTCCTCTAAGCCTGGACCAACACGTGACGTCTGAATAGAGTGGATGAGATAAGGGACAGAGGACCAGATGTGAGTACCCCAGAAGTCTTAAGAAGAGCACTAGGTTCAGCTGCAGGAGAGATGTCGTCCCACACTGACGTCGTCCCAACCGTTGGTGGAACTGATGGCTACAGCATATAGAAAAACAAGAGGAGTTCACAGATGTATCGCTCACCCGTCCCGGGTTGCCGATCCAGTATACTATGTGGAGTACGGCTATCACCAGCATCGCCTTTGGCAGTGCAGCTTGGTAGGGTCTCAAGAACACACTCCCAATGGTGACACACCACCATATGCTCAGGGAAGTCTCGAACGCTGCCGATCCACTTGCATGGAATGTTGAGCACTTCATCCACTCTGAGCAGGATTACTCCCGAACGGTCCACTTCCGCATTTTACTTATTGCAGCTTATTCGTATCTTACGATAGACTCTCAGCAACACTGCTATGGGACCTCCAACAGACTCATTAAAGGGGAAAACCTGACCGTAAGTTCACCAATGCCTGTAATGCAGTCCCCCCTCTTTCCTAGACCCTCGATATGAGAATCCGGTTGGCCTACATCGATCCCTTTCCTAAGGGGACAGCCACAAGATGGACAAGGTAGAGTCTTGAGCTTAGGCTCCTGCTCCACATTGGCACGTCGCCATCCCTCGAAGCATCTGCCCGTCAAGCGAATACCACACCATCACCAACTTCATCATACCCCTACCTTGCACACGTTACGTGCGTACACGCTGAAGCTATCGTAGGATCAGGTGTAGGCGAAGCCAGGGCGCCACAAATGGAACATAAGTATCTTTGCGCACAGCGAAGATTCCAACACTATGCATCATCATCGTCGTCGAAGCGTAGTCCTACTGTGCAATGCAAGGATGATCAACTTCATCTACGAGTTGGTCTCGAGTTATTGCCAGATGCTTTCCCGTACTCGCTGGGAGCGTCTGTGCGATCTACAACATATGGCCCCGATGAGTAGCATTATTATGATCATCATCGTCAGCACCTCCAGCGCTCTCATCCGGAGACCAGGCAAGTCTATTGGCTTGGGTGAAGTTGATATCGGTGTGGTATTGATACCAGAAACTACACTCTCCTTACTGCATCTACGTCCGTTTCCTCTACCGTTGATGCATGGTTCCTAAATACTATTTCCGTTGCCAATCTCAACCATGCACATATTTTCTCACCTCGCAGGTCTGCGAACTCTTCCTCTTAGACCCAGAAACAGAACCGCCACTACCGTGCCTGCCAAAGAACATAATGAAAGACACAACCTTGGGTGAGCGGATGACCTGTTGTTATTATATTGTCGTCCATGAGGAGCACCAAGCGGTACGTAATTCCTGAGTTCTTCTTCGCTGTGCGCATACCTAAAGATATTCTCCATATCTCTCTCACTCACTCTAGAGAAACACTCACTTGCAAAGAGCACCGTTTTTGCATCCGCATTTACCATATACCTGCTCGTAGCAAATAGCAGTCTTTGTGAGATTCGGGAGTAATCTCAACTCTGACTCGGAATGGGCGAAACTGACACGATGCATCAGCCGCCAACGAGCATCCCTATGAAGCCGCATGTGCATGCACTGTCACCACGTGTCACCCAACACTTTGAATCCTCATTATTCGAGCGCACACGTTGGTGACGCCACCCCAGCAGTACAAGACTACTACCTGCAGCGATCCCCTTGAGGACAGCTCCACAGGCCATCAGCATTCATCCTGAGCTTAGGGCACATCTTGGTTTTCAAGAAGGCATTGGCCTGATCAGAGATAAACGAATTATTAATTCGTTTAGCAGGTGCCTAGAATTGAACCCGGGACCCACTACTACTTTCACAGCGGTAGCCATACTCTCCGTACGGTAGACTAGTAGCGTACCGTCAGGAGCCGACTTCGTACCCGTATTCGTAAGGGGCGAGCAGGAGGTCTATAGAGAGCACTCAAGCAACTGATAACGCGGCGAGGACTCACCCTTCTTATCGCGAGTTCCAACTTGGACTTCACCGAATCCTCGGAGTCGCGACGAGGTCGTCTAGTCTGAGCCCATCTCACTATTGCTGAGGGACTCTCTGCATCAGCTGTGGTAGAAGCAGACATGGCCCGCTCCGACTTAACCACCGACCGGCGGCGCTGCTGAGTCAACGTTTTTGAATTCTCCATTTCGTGTTCAGAGTGGTTGGTCACTGTAGGAGAAATACCAGTAAGCCAAACAGATGCCGACAGTACACACCCTCGTTTGAAGACTCTAACTCAAAGCCACCGTAACATCAGATTCAACATGTTATTCCTACTCCAACCCGCGACGCCGAGATTCGTCTTTGGAAGAATGCACCATCGGCATTTAGCAGTCACTACACTAGCATCGTCGATCAATGGCCTCCACCCTGCTGTTAGCTACCACCCACATGCCGTTTACTACTCCGTATCACTACTACATCTCTGTCCGAAGGCACTCGTCTGGTCGCTCCAGTGATCCCAAGGAGCACCGAGTGTGAGGTCCTAAGGACGATTTCTATTTCAAACCGAGCCAAGATAGATTTATCGTCAGTCTAATGCTTCTGAGAAGAGCTGAATGATAACCTCCACCGACCCCTCGAGACCAACATGCATAAAAACTACCGACCGCGCCCCTATCCAGTTTGTGAGGGAGAGAGTTCCTTGTTAGTGACTGGATAAAGATAAGGGAACGCAGGCCTGCATCAACAAGCCTTGAGAACAACTCTATTGAGCTCGAGCTGAGGTAGTGGAACAGTAACTCTGCCCAGATAACGTGGGATAACTCAAGTATAGACGTGAACTAATCTTGGGTAAAAATACAAGAGAGGTTTTCTCTTCCAACTTTTGAAGGGGAGCCAGAACAGGTCCAGACACCAGTCGCAGCTACAGCACAAAGAACGAGAGTAGGACAATCATAAAACTGAATTCCTACGAGCTGAATAGAAAAACACGCTCACAATCTTGCTCTCTCACATTTCCTCAACGTGTGAAACGGTTAGCTTGGTTGTAGTAAGAGAATTATTCACATCCAACATCGAAGACAACACGAGTCACAAGTACACGGACCTTCATCAACCGTAAACCGGTCAAAAAAGTAAATCGAACCCACAGAGGAACGGGCGGAACAATGGTTTGCAATAATCACTTGGAGCTTGGTATGCGAGCATGTATAGAAGTTCCATGTATCACCAGGGTTGAAATATATGTTTGCTTTCCTCAGCTGATCTCAGGAATTTCCTCACTAATCACTAGAGTTTTCATAAGAACTAGTGTAGATGTGTCAATAAACCGGAGATAATTTTTCGAAATTTTCTCACAATCCTTTTATTATCACCAACACATGTAGTTGACCATGTGCATACTTTCCGCTAGCGTTGTTTACTATCACCCGAATACATTCAAATCGGATGATCTGAGCGAATTCCGATTAACAGAACACAACTTTGAAAAAGTACAGTAGAAACAACGTTGGTGAAATGGGCTATAATGGTAGTCGTTGTCATCTAGATTCGACCTTCAGTCGAGGACAGACATTCATAGCTTGCAGTTCTTGGAATAGCAGCTTGCAAGCGTACGGCATACGTATATCGACGATGTTCTCACTCGTACCACACAACCTACGCAACAACAACAACACATGACCAAACGTATCACCACAATTCAGCTTACTTGCACGTGCCGTTTTGGTACGATAAAAGGCCGCAACGTCGACACACGGAAGCTGTGAAGACATCACTGGAGAGCATAAGACGCTCCAGCAACAGATTGGAGGCGCCATATGCCACCTATAGGAGACCATCACTGGACAGCTCAAGTAGGGATCTTACTAAGCAATCCCTTTCCATCTCTCCAAGACGAAGGCCACCATCCTTCGCCCTTCCTTCAGTAGGCTGTCGAGTGAGCTGATTCACGGGGCCGGTGGAACGAGCGTGGATCTTGTCCATAACCTGCAAATAGCCAGTACGGAATCCAGCACAGAGCTGCATGGAAAACTGACCATATGCTTCAGTTTTTGATAGTAAATCGGACCCACGAAAATGTAGCACTCCAGAGCCTCCCCTGTGACGCCAGATGTGATATACTCCTTAGCGCTAGGATGGAAGCCATGCCGGATCAAGGATTGTGTCATGTGCTCCTTAGTTGTCCCGCCAAAGGCCGTACCATACGAACGTTCACCATCGAGAACGCCAGCTTTGCCAGACACACACTCCTGAGAAGTGCTGTGACTGGCGAAAAACTGCTGAATATAATTACCAATAGTTTTCCCACAGTCATTCGACTGGGGAAACCATGAGGGTTCATGATCAGATCTGGACACCATCCCTTCTCGCCGAAAGGCATGTCCTCCTGGTTCACAATAAGACCAACCACACCCTTCTGGCCGTGTCGACTGATAAAACAGGCGTTGAAAAGCTTTTATCAGCTTCGCTCCGCCTACCTTGAGAACTTATCACCCAGCTCGGGTCGTCGGGTCTGTCTGGTGATGCACTTGAATATTTTAGCTTGATCTTCGTTCTCCGTAGCAATGACTCTATCCACATATGAAGGCACAGGATTCTTGTATCTATGTAGACAGAGTTATAATGCCCCAGGGGTGATTTGAACCCACGATATCGGAGTGTCTCTCCAGTGAGAGACCTGCCCTGTAGCAGCATCGCTCATAGGCGACACCTTGTTGATGAGAATACCACCATCAACGACTTGCTCTCCAGAGAAAGGCAGACCGTCCTCATCAATGATAGCATACCTACAGGAACAATGTTTGTCCGCAACAGACCTGTAACCTACTTCTTCGCTCGTCCCACGAACCCTCCTTGCCGCTGATGACGACCTCCTCCCTTACCCCCACCACCGACCACCGGTGGTGCTCGCAGCTCTTCACTGGAACCAATGGCCGACCGAGCCAGTGGTGTTGCCTGCAATGGTGCCATAACTTGCCAGATCGCTGCCTCTCCAACTCACATATTTCCGGGTAACACAGCACCGTCCGAACCCTCTATCGATCGAAGCCTTGTTCATGATCAGCGCATCCTCAATATCATATCTGAATGAACCTCTATGGTAGACCTCACGATTCGCCCTCAACTCACCCCGAATAGCTCATAACCGCCACACTAGCGTTGTGGCCAGCTGGGAGGTTATCGTAACCAATAAGGTCGATGGTTCGGCTCTTGCACATCGGCTGTTGGGGATACGTCAACAGCAGCAGCTGAGTATCCGTTCGAAGGTGCTGAGAGGGAGCTTCACGACAGAAGGGTCCAACCGGGACGCCCCTACCTGGTTACACGCGATGTTACCCATAGCCTGTTTACCCATAGCGCACTGGTATGTGTTACGAGGGGACTGGTTGTGGTGGGGGTAGGGGACCAAGCCGGCCACAGCTCCCAGCAGAGTAAGGGGCTCGATCTGGCGACAGTGGTCATGATGATGAGTGAATAGGTACGCGGACGAGGCATACCTCTAGATGTGTAGACTCCATCGTGACGTCCTCAGGGTTGATAGCGATATATGAATTGTTCTCCTCATTCACATCGACCCATTCTATTATACCCAATCTCAGGAAGTCAGTAAACCTGATATAAGATGCTGTGATAGATGACACACGTCCAGCAACCTCACCTAAGCTCCCCTGACCTAAGCTTCCGTAGATGCACCTCCGGCTTCAGCATAGGCTTGCCCTTCTTCACCACAATAAGGGGTCGACAGAGGCGACCACCGTCTGTCGCGATAATGATAGCTCTCTGTGCTTCATGCTCATATATCGACACGAACTCCCCGATTTTGCCCCGCCGACGCAGCGTTCTCATATCACTCATGAAAGTCTGGGGCCTTCTATGGACGCCCAGCAGGGCACCATTGAGGAACACAGTAATGGTGCCAGCTGAATGAAGTTCCTCACCAGTGAGCCCCGCTGCATCCTCAACACCTACCAACAACGATAAGGACGAATAAGAACCACCATAAGAGCTCACCAAGGGAATAGCAAAGACGTCGTATCGGTCCTTCCTCGTCGGGTGTAGTGACGTGGGCCAACAGTGACAAGGCCTTGATAAGGCCGCACTGTTCACCTTCAGGAGTGTCGGAAGGGCACAGCATACCCCACTGGGAGGGCTGCAAGGCTCGAGGCCCCGCCAGCTTACGGGACTTCTCGAACTGGGACCTGATATGACCGTCCCATCTACTGTGGCTACCCATAACAGACTCTCACTTAACGCGAGTCATGGCCCCCAATGCAGCAATGAAGGAGAACCGCGAGAGAACCTAAAGATAATGTGATAGTAGCATAAACCACTGTACAGATGAGACAAGAACCCACCTGGCTAACGCCCGAGCGATCGATTCGGAAACGTTTGATGTTCCAGTTGCCCGAACTGATAGCCCTGTTCATGCCTCTTGTGATCCTCTCAGAGTCTATATCACGTAGCACGTCCGGATAGCCACTGTCAAGCCCAACCGTGGACCGACCCGCCCTCGCAGAAGACGTCTACCACACAAACAAGTGCAAGCCCTCCCTCCAGAAAGGTTACCTGCTGGAAGAACTTGGTAAGGCGCATGTCAACAGACTTCTTGATCTCAGTGTTCATGCTCTTGAAAAGATCCTCGAACAGAAGGGCGATCAGCTGCCCGGCCAACTCGAGACGTTTGTTGCCGTAGTAGTCGCGATCATCAAGAAGCGTCGAGTCGCTGCGTGCATCCAAGGCCTGATGAGCGAGAAATCTTCGCTGTGCGCAAAACCGGTAAAGATATCCTTAAACGCGCATCTTAGCAGACTTACTCGTCGCATCATGAGGCACAGAAATCTGCACTTGCCACTGAAATCAAGAGGTTTGGTGGCACCTCCCTTGTCCTGATCGAAGGCCGAGCTGAAGCTTCCATCGGCATACACTGAGATGTGCGAGAGGACTTGGCGGACCTACAACGGCAGTGTGGAAGCTAACGACCATACCGTAAATTCCCTAAGCTTCCCAGGAATAGTCCAATACTTTCCATAATCACAAAATCATGAACGTTATATATCACTATTGACTCGAATCGATATTCATTGGAGCTTCACCCGTTTTACGTGAAGCAGTGAGAACTCGGTGAAAAACGCGACGTTCGCAGTATGCAGTAGTCGTGAAATATGTTTTAACTACTGTTTTTCATATCACGGGTGATACTCCATTGTGTGAAGATTTAGAATTTTATGAATTTTTACCGTGAAAATACGTAAAAAGTTTAGTTATTACTCAAAATACCAGCAAGTAAATACAACAGTAATATCACTGAGCCTACCAAAACTTCTAGGGCCTCTCCCATTTTCCTTTCAGTCGCATCGGTGTTGCCAGGGCCAGTTCCAGCCGAGCCTAACGTCGTGGGATGAAATCGATCAGCAAGGCGTTAGCAACAACTGACTTCTGATTTTCAGCTTATTTCCGAGGTACTCAAGGGCTTGTTGCTGACTGAAGACCCCCGTAGCATGGGCGTCTTGCAAACTCAGGATCATACCATCGACATGACACTTCTCAGTGCCCACCATTTGCACCTACATAGAGGGACACATCTTCTCCCCAATCAGACGCGCAATCACGGGCTTTTTCATACGCTACTATCGAAGAGCCCAGGTTGCCTCTGCCACCTACTATCTCTTGATCAGACTCCATGCCCATTGCCCTAAGCATGATGACTGCCGGTATGAGCTCAGTGAAGGCCGAATGCTTCACGAACAGTCCGCTCAGCTCCGACTTGAAACACACAACCGTTCCTGTAATTTCGTGGCGCGCGACATATCTCAGGGCATCTTACGTGACTTGTTATCAGCTGTGGAGCTGGTGACCACAGCCTGGACCAATTTCTTCGGGTCCATCTCCACGATGATTCGATTGTTGCTCAACTGCTCCTGCATCAGAAGCACCTTCTCCGTGCCCTTGATGATGAAATATCCACCAGGGTCGTGTCTAAGGCAGAGACCCCTGAGAGCTGACCGCCAGCCCCAGCTGCTTACGGGCATTCCTGCATCCTCTCCATCTGCTCTGTAGTGGCATCGTGAAGTCGGCACAGCTTCGAGCGGAGCATTATCGGCAGACGTCCCACACAAACGCCATTCTTCCGCACTACTTCACGCCCTCGAACGTATGAGATGTCCACCAGGATGTCACTCGCGTACTGAGGACAAGTTATAGTAACAAAGCTAAGATTGCTGTGGTATCAACCCTAAAGATGCCTAGAGAGGTCGGCGAGTCCAGGACACGGAAGATGCTGGTATAGATGATAACAACAAGAAGCGTTCACTACCGTCATATCCCTAATACGGCACATCATAGGAGTAGTTTGAACATGCTGCAGCACGCCACGATAGCTAGGGGCACCCACACGGACGTCGTGGTACTCTAAGAACCAGTTAGGGTCGACATCACTAGTGATACGCCTATTGGACTCAGCCAGGACCTGACACCAACACTTCCCCCCTGCTCGGTGATGCTGCTGTCGAACACATTCCTTTCCATATTAGGCTAAGCCGCTGAGATTCACAAAGTGATATCAACACTACTACACAATGCACGCATGCGTTCAACACGTCGGGCTTACGATATCTTTAATCTCCGTCGTAACGAAGTAGTTGAAACTATCAATATGCTGCTTCACCAAGCCCCTAGCCTCCAAGAACGCTGGTAGTAGCTCCCACTTGTCGGCCCAAGTGGGTGGGGCCTCCTCACTGGAAGGGGGTGGGATGAACTCCTCTGCTGCGGAAGGCTTCTGTTTCGAGGCCGGCGGTGACATGGCGTATCACGATAGCAGTAGCAATCAAGGCGCAGAAGTGAGCAAGCAACAACTGACAATCCACGCAGGTTCGATTCCCGCATATTGCACTTCAACACAATAATACCAGATAAACACACCTGTTAGTACAACTGCGTCATCATGACTTTCACTGTGCTCACATAGAGCACCCAACTAAAGAAAGGTAAAAACACTTCGAGTCAAACTAAGTGTTGGCCTATGAACCTGTCAACGATGACAGCACAGTGCATATTCATCTCCATCAGCATACCTCTAACACCATCACTCGCCCCTGTAGTAGAGTCCGTTTCTGACGTGTCACCACGGCTAGTCTCAACTTGGTCCCTATACCCTCGTAATCGTCGCCACAGAGAGCCTTTCACCTACCACAAGGCCCATAGTACGCCCCAGTGCAATCGTCCTTACCACGCTGTCGTCAGTTGTAGCAGAAAGTTGGGATGTCTGTCGGGCGTTGGGTATACACCATGGAAGTAAGAACAGCGTGAATAACGGACAAGACGCTGATAGCACAGCCGCCTTCCACAGACTAGAGAAAGGCCATAAACAACTGAGGATTATCGACAAACCGCTCACTTGCTGAACTGATGCTCTTCGTTGACCGCTCCTACTGGGCGAACATTAAGCTCGTGCAAGACGAACGCCCCGATGTACTTAGCCTGATAAGCTCCACTGATACCATTCTACATAAGCCAGCACTATACCATAGTATGGCCAGCACTAGCACAGCCTGCTAGGAGGGCGAACATGGTAGACTCCATGCCTTGGGGGCAGAGTTTCGAAGTGAGGATGAGCGTAGGCATCCACATCCACTGTCGGGTGACCTAAGGGGCCCCTATGGAAGAACAAGGGGAGACGAGGTACAGCCTACCTCAAGCATTGAGGTACCTCCCAGGACGAACACCTTGTCCGATATCCCTATGGCGAGGTTCCATCGAAGGAATACGAAAGTCTGTAGAAAAAAGCAGATTAGTCAAATAATGGGAAGAAATAGCGCGCGCCCAAAGGTGTTCACCTGCAACAAGGCCACAGTGACATGGAGGGCGTTGGCCAGAATGAGGAGGTTCCTGAAGGTCCATTCACGCATATACTGCCAGTAGATAAGGACACCGAAAATCGAGAAAGCATTCGAGACAACTCCAAGGACCTATCAAGGCCAGCGCTACAACAAGCCACAGCAGCTCTCCCTACAGTAGTGTAGTAGATTGGGGTAAAGTTGGGACCGCCAGGGAACTGCTCGGGAGTATCGGTGAAGAAGTAGAACGCCCCACCCTCTATGGACACGGCCAACGAGGCCTGAAATCAACACCAGTCACGAGGCCAGCACAGTGTAGGCCCACTGACTTGAACTATAGAGAAGACCGTGAACTTGGCGATAACTGGTGTCAGAACTACCCCAAAAAGGACCACCAATACCACCGTCAAGAGGCACCCAGTGTAAGCAGCCGTCCGGACGTGGCCCCTGAGCCCAAGATGAGGTCCATGGACCCGACAGAAAACAACCTACTCCTGGAAGCCTATACCGTTGATAACAGTAGTGCAAGCCAGCATGATGCAGGCAAGCATGACTAACTCTGAGTAACCCTGTCGCCTCAGCGCAGCGTAGCTCTCAGAAACCTCCTCCCTCCCTATAGAAAGGCCTCCTCCACACGATAGAGGTAATTTCACGGCTGCCTACCAACTTTTCGCTCGCCCAGAAAATTGAACAAGACGAGTGGTATGAATAATGCTGCAGGAAGCAGGCAGGGGAAGAAGGGTGCATGAGGACCATACCTACATCACTGTACACAGTAGCCTGTCAGTCGAAGGGCTCACTTGGTGATGATGGTCCCCACAGTAGCAGCAGCAATGACTTCAAAGGTGTTCTTACCGAGCAACACGAACGTTATCAGCCTGGGGGAGCTGCCACCATCAGACTGATTTCGCATTAGGTCCGAGTATCTGAGCATAGTAGTATCATAGGCCTCCCTGCATACCACACCAACCTCGCTTCTGTCAGTAGGTTCTGGACAGTGACAAAGACCGTACAAGTGAACATAGCAAACACAACCTACGAGGACCATCTCAGTAGTGCTCCTCATAGTGACCGTACTGATGATAGAGACAGCCTCCTTTCGAGTAGAGGAAGGTACTCCCCACTCGCATCCGTGACCGGGTTGGCACATAGGAGAAGGAAGGCCCCAATCCCCAGTACGGCCGATAGAAGGATATACGGCTGCTTATGGTAGCCAAGGACAGGACACATGTCCGAGAGGACACCGAAACTAAGAGGGAGATGATACCAAGGGCCAACGGACAATTGCCGCCTCACACAGGCTTCATAACCCAAGGCATGAATACCACACCAGAGAGAATTTGCAGCTGTGGTCCGCTTACTCGATAGGACCTAAAGGGCAGTGACAGTAGTGGTAACAGCACACATGCATTGAACCTACCGTAGGAGGTAGTCCATAGTACTGAGCATGTAGTATAGGACCAAGCCTTTGGTAAGGTGTTGGGATACACATATCCACACTAGTATCTTATCCCTGAGGCCATCATAATATACAGTTCACCCTCCTGACCTACCCAAAGTCAACACGAAGCTTTCCAAACCACTCCTTCACCGAATCACCGCTACCACCACCACCACCGACGCTACCACGAGGGATTTTCGAGCTGACCTCCTTCCTAGGCGATGCCTGCCGACTCCTATTTCGTGGCGACGGCCCACCCTAACATCAAGTACACCAACACTTGCGGCTTTCTTCGGCAATGGTCACCTTCCCAGCCGTGGACCTCATCATAAGGCCTATCTCCTCATCAGCGAGAGCGGCGTCAGCTTCCTCACTATACATAGCAAGTGCTCTACAGTTGAACAACTTCGAGGGACATCAAGGAAATCAGGAAATCCCAACTGCTCGGGGCTTCCAGGCAAACATGAAAACTCAATGACCAGTCAGACCTGTACAATGATGAGTTTCAACGGTATTAGTAGTATTAGCAGGATAAAGCAGTAAAAGGTGTCATAATGTTTCACTCGGAGGCATCCTCTACAGCAGTGAAGTACTGTTGGTAGATAGCAAAGATCAACACCAACAAGGCGATTATGTATTTGCCTCTCCTCGAGAACATGGCCGCAAAAAGGTTCTGGAAAGAAAAACATTCAGCACGCATGCACCCCTTCAGAGACTCACTCGAATGAATATGACCAAACGCGCAAACTTCATGATAATCCTGAGGAAAAACTTTATAACCCGACCACTGAGCCATCTCGGTAGTGCCGCCTTGCCGTCCGGACCCGCAGCCTGGGAACCTGGAAAGAACGCCCTTCGTTACTAATGGGAATATGCTCAACGGCAGCGGAGCGAAGTTCCAACTATGTGATAAAACTACCCATACGGTAGACGCCTCAACCAGACCCACAAGGAGTAACATAGGATACTACCTGCAGCCTGTTGGGCTATGAGGTTCTCCAGAACATCATCAGGCATCGAGCTAATCATAGCTTCCATCGACTTCAACATTCGGGGGTCCTTAAATATATCCCCAGGGTGGTCCGGCATCTTAGGAACCTCCTCCCCCGTGCTGCCCTCACCCCCTGCAGCATCGCTCGCTGGTGCTGTCGTTTGGGCAGAAGCCTGACGGACATCACTAGTAGATAGCAAAGGGTGGAAGTAGATTACCTGGGACATGGCATTCATCTGCTCAGGTGACATATTCTTCATCATATCCCCCATGGCCTTCATCATATCCTTATTCCGCATCATTTCCCTCATGGCAGCAGCGTCCTATCACCAACACCATGCAAGAGGCCGACCTCGTCGAGAGACCCCACCTGACTGCTGGCCCCCATCCCCGACATCTTCAGCATACTATCGAACTGCTCATCGGACATGCCAGCCATCATATCGCTCATCTGAGTATGTAGCTCAAGACGAGTACTGCAACAACATACTTGATTCATAACGTCAGGATTCTCCTTCATCATTCGAGTGGCCTCGGCCAATCCCGCTGACCCTGTAGGAGGCATTCGGGGAGCCGTAGAGCTGCTAGATGCTGCTGTGGTTGCAGGAGCAGTGCCAGAGGTCGCGGTCTTCCTCAGCTGGTCGATCTGAGACCAGTGTGGACAAATATGCACATGGTCAACTACACGTGTCGGGGACTATGTAGAAATTTCGATGAAATTTTGTGAAATTCTTATTGGTTATCGAACACCGCCACCCAACTGTGCATATAAACTCCTATAATCAGCGTGGAAAATCCCGAGCTCAGCTAAGGAAAGCGAACATATACTCCAACACTGGCTGAGACAGATAAGGAGAAGGCATACGCTGTAACATACCCTTTCCCTAGTAACAATGTCCCAGGAATCCTCATGTTAGGACCTCCAGCCCAGACTTCCTACCTGCTCCTGCGGTAGGGACCCCACCACGTCCTTCATCCTTTCCACGAACTCAGGGTCCTCACTACGAAGCTTTTCCGCGAACTTACGGGCTGCCGCAGAATTGGCAGGGGCGCTTCCAGTAAGCTGCACGTTGCGCAGCTCGTTCATCTAGAGATGAATAACAGGTAAGGAAGAGTCCCATGGGCCGATCGCGAGCATTGATGACCGTACTACTTCCTCAGGCGTCATGTCCTTCATCACTTTCTGCATCTTCATTACCATCTCTGGGTCCGAGGCAAGCTTAGCAGAGACTTCTCGCTGGAGATCAGCAGACGCATTAGAAGATGACGAAGGAGTGGTAGAGGCCGAGGCAGTGGTCGTCGATGTCGAGGAAGACGACTTTACTGCTTCCTAAGAACGGAACCATCCGACACCGCAAGAGTTTCTAATTGATGTCAGTGATACCCTCACATATACCTACTTCATTGATGACTGACTCCTCCTCTGTTGGTACTACATAGTCGTCGGGGAGACTCTCCTTGAAGGCTTCGAAGTCGGAGACTAACACCTCATCATTCGGTGACAACCGAGCCGCTATCGATAGATCGAGGTAAGCCTTATCGGTCTCCTTCAGTTCTCGATAGGCCACCCCTGATGAGGATGTGAATTTCGTGGCGCAGTGACGCTGGATGCAGTACCTCGCCTGTATAGAGCCTTCACCGCCTTAGGGTCCTGCTGCAACACTTGGTCACAGTACTCGCGGCATTCGTCGTACCTAAGCGCTCATTGCAAAGAAGGCTTGACAAGGCAGATGCTACTTCTCCAGCTTCAAACAGCAAAGGGCAGCATTAGAGCAAAGGGCCTTCTGCAGGGCCAAGACGGTGGGGGTGCTGTATGATTTCACGTTATCCAGACCCCTAGTGTATCTGGAACAGTTACGATGGTACGAGGCAGCTAAAATGGTTGATACCAGGAATTGAACCCGAGACCAAACGTGGGACATACAAGTACTCGAACCATTCACCTAACAGGCCTTACTTCTCTAAAGCCTCGCTGTACTTCTGCTCTTTGACCAACGCGTTGCCCTCGGCCTTCAAAGTGTTCGTGGCATTAACGTAGTACCTTCCACAGCCCATCCTATCCCCACCCCACCACTTCCCCGTATTACTGCATCGCATTAGACTGCTGAGCCTGTGCCTGTCCCATGGCATTCCGCATCTCCTCTGGTGACATATTCCGCATTTGTTCCGCTGCCTACATACTACCACGTAACCTCACCCACTATCACTGATCCCTACCTGATCCATCTGTTCTCTAGAGACCCCTCCAGGGGGCATGCCCTGTCCTCCCATCATATTCCGCATCATCTACATAAGACCCCTGAAGGACTCCTCTCCCCTCCCTATCTACATTCGGGTCCATGTTCTTGGCCATCTCGGTCATCTGGGCCATCTGCTCAGGAGACATGTTGGCCATCATGTTTTGAGCGGCCTGCATCATTTCTGGAGTAAACATGGTCGATAGTAGAGGCTCCAAAACTGCCAAACTTCGAAGGTCTGGTGTATTTCCATCAAAATGTGCGAGTCTCGTACAAACGATTATACACGTGCGAAAAATCCATGGACGATTATCGATTCATAATCGTTCGCGATCTAAATGGGTAATTTATCCCGGCCTCGTCACAAGATAGATGACGCTGATATACTGATCCAATTGCATTTTCTGGGGGTGGATGCCGTCATTGTGTAGTGGGCTTGTACTCTCTTCTTATCTATAGTTACGGTCAATGACCTCTTCGGCTGCCCGGTTATGCTGTTATTGCACCTTATTAAGGTAGTAAGTATTCTTGTCTCCTCTTGAGGGTATTGCCAGGACCCGCATCCTTAGGGGCTCTAGTGAGCACCAGGATCGACCTCGAATGCCATGAGAGTATGTGCTCTTCCCGGGTGGTATCAGGCACCCACCAGAAGACTACCTGGCCCGTCGGACGTTTTGAATTTCATACGAAACTCAACAAATTATCTCTAACAGCTCATTCCCTACCACACCTCGGGCTCATCATGGACATCGGCTACAGTTGGACTTCCTATTATTATTGAGATCGTCGTTTGAAGGTTGACTCGATGACCATCCTCCTGCGCACAGCCAAGATTCTTGCATTCACGCACCCTCGAGTTCACAAGTCCTACGGCCTGCTAGGCGTCTCCATAGGCTTCGATATCTATTGCTGTCTGGTTGCTTGCCTAAAGCCAATAATGGTTGCCCACTTAAAGGAGGTCCTCACACAAGGGCAAAGGGTCCTATCTGAGGCCCTATGAGCATGGTATTTTGCTGTTGGGCTAGATGAGGAGGCACTCGCGATGATATAGAGACATTGCCAAGGGCCTATCACTTGGCGGGCCATGCTCGAGTCGAAATCAGCCAGCATAAACCTTCCCATAAACGCATAGTAGAATAGATGTATAATACGCCTATTGCACTATACGTATGGAGATCATAACTTTGAGCCTTTAAAGGCGTGCGTGTGCTATCTAAAGATGAACCCACGGCCTTTGCTCAGTCCCCTTACGGTGTCCCAGTAATTGCTGATATCGTAGCATCATCGATAAACACTTCTTTTATGTTAGTGCTGTGGCTTCTCCTCTCACACAGTCTGTCTGGTCCCTCGTTGTGATACCGTCCTTCCAGTAACTCTGCTGCGCCTTTTTTTCATGTAGGATTCTCATCCACCCGTATAGTCACAGCCTCCTTCTTTGGTTGCAGAGATGGTCTCTTAATGTCTCTTGGAAGAGGTCCTTACACCCGACCTTAGAGGGACGGGCTGTTTGCGGGGGATGAGCCCTTTATTGAGTTGGTTGTGATAGGCCATTACCATACAGGGGTAGTCCCTTCGCATCATATCCCCATACCTCATCAATGCATCCGTCCCCGTCCCTCTGTTATCTACTACTATCAGTATTTCTTTCACAAAAAGCAGCCTGTTGTGTTTGTCCATTGTGATGGACGTCCATTTATTCCTAGTAATAACTTTTGTTAATGAGCAGTCCTACTGTGCCGATGAACCCTCAGCTGGAGCAGATCCTGTCGAGGCCGGAGAACTCTGTGTGTGCCGACTGCAACGCCTCCAGCCCTCGGTGGGCTTCAGTGAATCTAGGTGTCTTCATCTGTAGGTCTCCCTTGTAAGCTCTTCTCACTACTAATTTTCTCAGGCACTAACTGTGCTGGTGTTCACCGTGGGATCGGTACTCACATCACTTTTGTCCAGTCAGCAACAATAGACGAATGGAAGCCTGAATGGGTGGCCTTGGCCGATGCTGTTGGAAATAAAGTTGCGAATGAATATTACGAGTATTTGATTTTACTACCACTCCTCGACCACTTCACAATACCATCCTAAGGTACAACGTGCCGTCGCATATTCATAAGCCGGATGGGAAGATGTTCCCCAACAGTGGGGGTGGCGATAGATTGGATCCCGACGTGGCCCGGCATCTAGAGCGATGGATTCGAAATAAATATGAGCTCAAGCTATTCGCTGACTACTCTGCTAAGGAGCCATGCGTAGGCCAGGAGTTCGTCTCTACTTGTGAATGCACTCCGTTACTTTGGCAGGTAGCGTTCGCAGATGGGGAACTCGTCGGTCCCCTTGGGCTCCCTGGGCCAAGTAATGTCAACCTTACAACGACACCGATCGCTGCTGCAAACGGCTATGTTGCTACGCCCGAGAAGGTATCGAAAAAGAAGAAGCGATCGAAGAAGTATGAGTGGAGCGAGACGACGTCCGAAGGGGCCTCTCGCTTGTCCTGGAAGGAGCAGGCTCATGTCGATGTAGCCCAGTTGGACCCGCGGTATCTTAAACTTGCCCCCTCCCAACAGGGCTGGCAGAACAACTTCTTCATAAGCTCCTGGATAAGTGATGTCTCGAGTGGTCATGACCACAGTCGGGTAACCATTTAATATTCCTATGGAGAGGCCGGGGCCGTAGTTGACTTCATCGTGGAAACATTGTATTTTGTTGTATTCATCAAGCAGTGAGCGTTATATATTCCCTGTTAACATTTCAATTTTATTGCGAACTTCTTGAGAATTTTGTTGTCAATAATAGACATTATCCCATTGTAGTGGATATGGCTGTAGAACTGTTCTACAGCTCTTCTACGGCTGTAGAACTCTACTAGAACACAAGTAGCTTAGAGTCACAGTGGATGAGATTAGATGGTCAAAGGGATAAGCTCTATCAATAAAGACAATTCGAGTAAAGCTCAATTACGCCCTGTAGCCCGTTGTGGAAGTGCTCAGGATAGTATCATCCTCAACTATCATAGGGCTTTCGGAGACTCCTGAGTATGGTCGCCAAATGACCCTAGATCACCTTGACAGAGATGTACATGGACTTCGAAACCAAGTCAGTACTGCGGTATAAACTTAATTCTCCATCAGGAGCTCTTCTGTTCGATTTATGCCGGGGCAAGCAGCCCAATTCACGCATGGGGGTGGCCGACACAGACCCCTCACTGGTGCCCTGCGCTGCCACTTCCATGCCTTTGGGTACAACAGAGAGACAGCGACTGGCAATGGAATAGAGGGATGGTTCCGCGCTCGTGGCTCCGCTCGAGCAGACCTGTCATCGTGGCGAAGCAATGGCCCCAATCCCCCGCTGTATCAGAACGGTCGCAGTTCGAGCCTTCCACCCGCACCGCGGATGGCCACGTTAGTTCTGCCGAGCCCTACTCTCGATTACATAACTGACAGAAGAGCGGCAAAAGCGCGTAGGTCCTTGTCGACTCTTTTAAAATCCGATCTAGAATTGCTGGCAGGTGGGGGCTACTATGAAGACTTTGCCACAAGACGTGCTAAGTGGTTGTGTGACATGTTCGATTGATGTGATCCGAATTTGGATGTCATATTCGATCCCTATCGTGTTGCGTGCATGAATATGCTCCTTCGACTAGTCCTACTGCCACTGTGGCAGTGCCACACACTACGAAAACCTATGAATAGAATCACCACTAGGTAGGGCCTTCCGTTATCAATTTTACTGAATAACACAAAAAAGAGTGATTCTAGATACAGCACAGTATGTAGTCAGTACATGACTTCTGAGACCAACCACGTCATGGGGTATCTCGCGTTGCTGTGTTAATCAGCCAAGTCTGTACCTATTCTGCTTACCATAGTCTACGAGATTATCAACATTCTTACGACGCTAGCCGTTTGATATCAGCCTCTACTTCTTCAATACGTCTTAGGATTTTCACAATGCTGGTCGAAATCCGTGCTCTCACACATGATGGCGATTCCTCTGACACCGTCCGCTCGAGCTCCTCCCACGATACCTAATTCCTTACCACTCGCCCACCCAATCAACCGCTATCTCATGTACCTTATCGGCTATTGCGTCCTTCAAAGAGCACTGTAAAGAGGCATTTCTTCTCCGCAGTGATGCCAGCCTTAGTATCTGAGCCTTGAGTATCAGGCATCCCCTCGGAGCAAGTTACTTGAAAGCTCGAGCTTTCGGTCTCCAGCCAATTGTCTCTATTCATGAAGGCGTTCTCCTGACAGGGAGAGGCATCGGGGAGATAGTTGACTCGACCAATCCCTGCCTTCCGATCTACAGCTGCCGTGTCCAAATCCGTAGCCTGTCGTCTGCAGCCCAAGAGGTCCAAAGATGCACCTTGAAACTATACGCATACCTCAACGAGGCCTTCTCTTTCTCCTGCTTCTCACGATTTTCGCAATACCGCTTACACGTGCCACCGTGGGGATCGTCGGTGCTGCTGCTTCGTGATGGGCCTGCAAAACGCCACTCTTTGATATCCGGCCAAGCTGATCTCAACAGATGTGGGTTGAAGAGACATCCTCGGCCTGCCGTCGTTGAGAAGCACTCTCCAGCCGATGGATGATCGAAGGACCCTGTCACTATACACGACATAACGATGGCGCCAGCATCCTCACTTCGGCCAACACTATATCTTTGATCTCTCGGATGCGAGAAGCGTCTGAGAGAGCCCGGAGTTTTCGAGCTGAGCCTCTCGAACCCACCAGTCGCTATAGCCAATTCGGATTTGAGCAAGTCGACGGCTTCGGCCAAAGAGAGATCCATCTTTTCACTGATCACCTGTACGGACCATGGCGCGTCGAAAAGACTCTTCATACTTTATGCAAGCTGCTCTTAGGGACTGTCGGGCCTCTATCTCTCAGCTCGTGCTCGTCGGACAGTCTAATAGTTGCCCATCGTGAATTTCATGAGCAGCTTCCCCCACCGTCTCGACTCGGCAATTTCCTCCCCGATGCCTCCACCATGAGGAGAGGGCGCTGCCTCTAGGCCAATCGGACTGGCAAGCCTCCGTCCCCTAGTAGTTGCATTGCACTCCTCAGCCTTCTCAGGCTGCAGCGCGGATTTAATGCTCGTCTCGTCTGCCCCCATCCCCACTCCATCAGAGACAAGCGCCTGTTGTGTTCCACATTCCGCATGCCTGTTCTGGACGGAGGAGGTGGGGTCTACGAGAAGATTCCGTCTCCCATATCGGGGAGTAGAACCCACTTGAGGGGGGTCGATCGATCACAGCCATGCTGCTAACACCAAATACATGAACCTGACCGCTGGCAAGACGAGCTCGGCCACGGCGGAGATACGCTACCGGCTTCTCCTCATTGCTGTTCACTCTGATAACCTCCCCATAGTCGATCAGATGGCTTCGTGGCGGTTGCTGCGAATGAGCACGTCCGTCCGGATCGAGCATGCTGCCTACCTCTTCCCCGTGTGCCTCAAGACAAGCAGCAGTGACAAGGACGCAGCCGTGGGCACCACAGGCTACTGGAGGGACCTCATCCAGAATGTACTTGCACAACCGCACTGCGTTGCCGATGAGGACAGGCCTGCGAACCACGTCATTGAGCTACGATGATTATGATGGTATGGACCTCGGCAGCCTATACCCGACCGCCCCTGCGATCAGAGGTTCATCAGACTCCGACACACTGTGAAGGACTATTTTGACTTCAACACGAGCGAAAGTCGAGTCAGCCTTCAACGCGTCAAGATAGGCGTCCGCGAAGCGGAGGGCGTCTGGAGATATACACCATGTTGCAGACGAAATCAGTTCCCCAGCAAACTCACCGACGGCATGCTGAGGCCAGCCAGAGAAGAGAGCACACATATGCTGGTTGGCGTGGACCAGTTGAGGACGTCCTCGGGATCTCTCGTCTGACGGTAGCAGCATCTTCTCAAATTGAATCTACCCTGCCTCATGTGCCTAGCCGTATCGCACACGACCCATACGCAAGCATTAGAGAAGACCTTTAGATCTTCCTGGGTCCGAATCAGTCGGGTCGACTTCATCATAACGATGCTTGCCCCTCCCAGGTCCCGGCTGAAGGCACCATACCCACTCCCCCATAGTAGCAGTAGCGATGCCATACAGATCAACAGCAGTCTCTAGGCCGACTCTGTGTGGGCTCAACACCCCAGCCTCGTCAATGCACCCCAGATACCTAGGAGGCTTCATGATGTGTGTAAGAGACGACCCTACTTCTCGGCAAGCCCATCGCCCAAGAGAAACTTGAAGACAGCCGCATCGTGAGAAGTCTTCTGAGCGCGTTCGGTCTTCAACTTGACCTGATACGGTTCCGATTCTTCCCGGAATCTTCAGTTCCAGTCGGAAAACGGTCCACGCCTCGGCCCAGCCGCTAACGTGGTGCACGTTTACCTGAGTTTCTATTCTGGCCAGGACTTCTTCCTTCACAAACGGCTTTGTGAGATAGTCGTTGCAACTACAACAGACGGGCAAAAGGTCACATTGAAATTCGGCGTGAATGCTCTCACGTGAATCCGAGACCTCTGACGACGTCCTCCGTAGTGGACTTGGCACTGATCATTATAATGGGGAGCTGCGGTGGAAAGTCTTCCCGGAGTTTTCGAGCTACTTCGTATCTAACCTTGGGGCTCCCAAGATTCCCCAGCTCGACCTGCCTCACCCGCTCATACCGGGCATCATCGCGTCGAGAAGGATGAGGTCGGGCGCGTCGTTGTTCGCCAAATATCTGGCAGTATTCATCATTACTCGAGTATTTTCAGTATTCCTCATTACTCGAGACACTCAAAGCCGTCCATAGCCTCATCTACTCTATAGCCGGCCGCGGAGAGAAGCGAGTCTGCTATAGTAGGATCATGGGTTTACAATGTGCCGTGCTCACGTATGATCATCTGATTCACAGGGTCATCGTCTACGCTTAGTATGACAGGATCTTTCAGGCCGACTCCACCGTCCGTGTTGGGGGCTCCGCCAAGATCACTTAACATTGAAGCTCTAGTAAATGATATACACGGCGCTCCTCCACCCCCCCCCTTGGCAGGACTCGGCAATTATAGATTTTCTCTGTGAATTTTATGCGATTATTTCAGTCGAACCGGCTAGGCTATTGCTTGCGCCATATGAGAATACATCGTTTTCAGTGCGATGACGTAGGTGTTCAATCATTGACAATTCAATACGGTGCACTAGAATAACTCATATCACAACACCTGGACCGTGAACCAACCCAGCAAGAGAGCATGCCTAGAACCGTCATCACCGCAACCTCACCAGCCTTCTCACTCAGACCTTATATTTCTTTCCAACCCTTGCGGCCCAGGAAGTGTTCCAGTAGATGCCGGAACGATCTCCCCTCGCGGCTCCCTTAACAGCCTAAGGATTTGAGGCAAGTGGCTTTGGAAAGGTTTGGAGCTGGCGCGGTTAAGGACAAGAGGCAGGACGAACTCGTGGCTGTGCTGCAAGGCTGCGAGTGTTTCGGCTCCCAGAAGACCTTGCTAGAGGAGATCATGTCAGATTTGAAGAGAAATTCCACCCAAAATTGGCCCCAGTGTAAACTGCATATAAAAGATATCCAACTCAACAGGCTCCTCAGCTGGCATGACACCTCAACCCCCTTGCTGCCTTTTCTTCCGAGCTGGTAGTACCAGCCTGGTACTTGGGAGCCACGGAGGATCCAGCCTGAAGCCCACCCGTCCGGCCCGTCGAAGAAAGCCCTGCACTCGTCTGTGAACAGGACGGACGAGAATTCTCTCTTTGTGTTATTCTCGGCCCATTCATATCTTGTCTTCTAGTGCCGGGCCGTCAAAACAGGCTTGGCAATAGCCTTCTTCACCCCTCCCAGCTGGTTTATAACCCTATTACGCGAAGTTTTGGGCTTCATGGTAACTCCAGCGCCCTCAAAGATCTCCTGCCTCTCGCGAGGTTACAGACTTTTTCGTGGGTCCGGATGGGCCCAAGGGAACCTTCGTGGGATTTTCGACGTATTCCTTGATAGTCCGGTGGCTTCAAGGCCTTCGATATTTCGAGTGTTGTCTTGCCTGCTGCGAGCGTCTTTACTAGCTCTGAACGTTCCGAGTCGGATAGCTGTTTGCCGCGACTCATGTTCAAACGTAATAACTAAGTTGCATAACGGTCTGGGTCGGCTGCGCAGGCAAAGAAGATCTTGCTCGCCCAAATAATCGAATTGGTTGACGAAACGGTCATGATATGACAAAGTTTATTCTCAATTGTTACCATCATGCTATATCCCAAGTTTCATGTTCTAAATGGTAAAATGCTAAATCTAAAAAAGTTATACCAAAAAAACCAATTTGCATAACGGTTCGGTTCACAGTGCGAACTTCGCACTGTATGTCCAGGTCTCCACGCTGTAGATGCATTGTCAAGCTTGGCGTTCCTGCCCATAACCCCTCCTTGAACCCCCAAGGCTGCCCTCCTTGAAGGAGGCTCCTTCTCTAGCTGTATACACTATACAGAATCAGGCGTGCAGTACTGACATCTCATATCGCACACATCGGTGAGAGAGAGTCGTTGATACGTAGGTAGTCATCGGCCGAGATCGGCACTAATTTCCTTCTCCTGAGTCAGGGACTCTGACCACTGACCCCGTAAAGCTCCAGCAGAGGCTTCCTTGGACGACATTCTATTGACATCATAAGCTGTGCAGGCAACAGAGCAATAGGACCAGTTCAAATACAGCACGCCAACGCAATCTCAGTGGAAAGGAGGAAGCTCGCCCAATGCACCAGAGATTATTATAGATGCGCAAAGCGAGTGATAGCAATATTAGTCAGTGAGTGAAAAGTTGGGCGATGAGGTCATCACGCGGCAAAGTTGGGGTCGTGAGGTTCCTCATCCACTGGAAGCTCGGCGAAGGCCAGTAGAAGATCATCTCGGACCGCCAATGCTACTAGAGGCTCTGAGGACCGCACCTGGCGAGTTAGACATGAATTATAAACAACTTATAGATGAGATGACACTACCGCAACTCTGGCTTTCCCTGCATGCTGAGGACCCGTACCGACTTCAATCCGGACGAGTACCTGAGGGGCACTAGTTGAGAAAAGTGTAAATCCACCATAGTTGCTACCGTAGCATTAGGAAGAGTAAAACACTGTATTCCTTCTGGGCTGTCTGCCGGGAACTTACCGCATAAAACAAGATTATTAGGGTTGGAATCGAGCTGTGAGTGAAGCTTGAGAACCTACTCGAAACCACTGTGGGAAAATATTGCGCATCTGTTCGTAAAGACTCTGGGGAAATTCTCATAGGGTTCTGTATACTTCTACCCGGATTTGTTTTTTAACTCCTATGATTAGTGAATAAACTCCTAGACTAAACTGAGGAAAGCGTACATATACTCCAATACTAAACGCCAGTGTAAACTGCCCGTACTACCCCTCCCAAAGTCGCTGCTCGGGCGAGCGCTAAAAGACTGTCCCGGCAGTCGTACGAGGTTGTTATACTCACTACAGCGGACTGCTCAGATAAATGGTATCTGATACCATAAGGGCATTAGAGGAGGTAACGAGGAGGAAGAGGAGAGGGCCCTACATATGATGTCGCCACATGCTGAAGAAATCACCAGCATTTGGTATGTCCACGGGGGCCATGAATTTCGACAGGAGAATGGGAAGCCGCAATGACAGTGTTCGAGGCGTATTATCGAACAATAGGAATCGCATCTGGAAGAATAGATCGCCATAGTCGATGTAGTGATGACAGTAGCCCTAGCAAATTCACTATCACTCCCTAGGGAAATATGCACATGGTCAACCACATGTGTTGGTGGCGATATGAAAACTCGGTTGAAATTCTGGGAAATCGCCGCTGATTCTTGTATATTTCTACCCGAATTCGTACGTAAAATCCTATAGTTGGTGAGGAAACTCCTTAATTTAGTTGAGGGAACCAGAGATATATTCCAACACTGCTCCGCCCCATAGTACACTCATCATCGGGATCTGCTGAGTCGGCTTAGTACACACTGCCTTCACTGTCAACCGTATCTGCCAGTACTACTATTACAACACTCCCATGACCACCTAAGCTCACCTGCTGCTTAGCCCTGATAGCTGTGGGGACCGCCTCTGTCGGCGTTAGGGTTATATCGTCGCCCGATATCAACTCAACGGTAAAGCCGTCGAGAGCTCCCGAGCCTAACATACTCGCCTACGACGATCGATACATTTACCCCTGCACTACTCTTATTGCCGAAGTATATACTAACCTGACCTTCTCCCATGCCGCAGGTGTAGGATGATTGAAGACCGATCTAAAGAGGAGACCACATCATCTCGAGGTCACAGTACTAGACCCAGCACTTGAAGTATCTCATCTTCATATAGTACTCCCTCCTGAGCGCCTATAAGTGCTCGGAACCGTTCCACAGTGGCTGGCGTCCCAACGTTGTGTGGCAGGAGGGCGCCACCACTAACACCTGCTGACCCCAAGTTGGTCGTCTTCATTGGAGAGCCAGCCGTACCTAGATAGCCACAATAGAGAGCCCAAGAGGTAGTCGGAGTACCCAATGGTGCCGATGTAAAGGCAGTAGTAGCTGTGGTGAGAGGTCTTATAAACCCATCAGTTTGTGGAGCGACCATATCCTCCAAACTGGACGCCATAGCTGCTGGTGTCCTTGATGACGTTGGTGGTACTCGGGCATCACCGAAGTAACTGCCGAGGACTATGCCCTCCCAACCCCTTCCCTTTCCTCCCGTTATAACCTCTCATTCATGCGTCCAAAGTTGTTATCAGCAGCCCTAGCCCTTGCCGCTACCTCCTGCTCAGAGCCCTCAAAGAGCTTCTTCAACTGAGCATTCTCCCGTTGCAATGCCTGACAACTACTCCACAGGCGGACGATCATACCTGTTGGAGTTACCTCATTGGTCGCCGCCATCTCCGCTAACCTCCGCGAGTCCTCAGCTATCTGGTCATCCCTCGTGTTAAGCTCATCCTGGAGCTTCGAGGCACGGGTGGACTCCTGATAGGAACCAAGTCGACCCATACAGACACCCCCGGCGAAGAACCTCAGACCCTTTCCCGTCTTATCACTTTCATCCACATGTCCTTTGCATTACTCAAGTCCGTCGTCAACCCCTTGTTCTGGCTCTTCAGACTGTTCACTTGTCCCTAACATGAATACCACCGTAAAGATCAAAGCCAACGATGCAGGGACTACCTCAAGCTTAGCTACTTGACTCATGGTCTCATCTAGTTGGTTCCTAGCGTCTGATAACTGGCTTAGAGACGACTGATGTGCCGCCACTGAGATGGGGTGCGCGCGATACGGTCAGGGTTGGATTGAAATCCGCTTCGCTTTACCCGAGTCAGACAACTGCTTTTTGAGTTCCTCAATCTCAGCCTTAGCATCACTGAGTTCGATAGCTGCCAGATGCCGCTCTACTGCCAACTGCTCCGCAGCCGACGACTCGCCACCCACGTTCTCTACCACGGTGATATGCTCTCGACTGCCCAGTCCCCTCTAGTACCGTTATCACCACCCTGAGGCTCCACTACAGGTGTCTTGGAAGAGCCTGCTGGCAGGTCCTCGAGCTGAGCCTTGTCAGCAAATATACCGAACATGCCGTTATCTGTGATGAAGGCCAGTCGCCCGATGAGTCCATCGATGTAGATTTACTACGAATTGGAGCATCAGGTCTCGTCAGCTGCTCCTTCAGTGCCTCTAGCAATCTACATAAGAGTAATCACCTCCGGTTGGTCGGAGTAATCGACGCTTACTCCTTTGAATCTGTCTGATCATCCCCCAAGATGTCAAAATCTATGTATATGCAGTCCCCAGCCCCCTCGTTACCCGGAGCGCCGCCTGCAGCAGCGTTCGAAGCGTTACCATCTGGTATCCCGGAAACAGACACCACTCCGGGGACGCTACTAGCAGCCATTACAATGAAAAACTTCTAAGGCAACATGTCGTCATGTCCGTCCTGGTCGTTGTAATAGTAAAATTGTTAGTAACACCGTCAGACCGTATAGTGTTCCTAGTCTGATTAAGCCGCCGTATGCTTCGGAAACAGCAGCAACAATTTGGGTTGGGAAAATCCTTCCTAGAGTAAACACAACACTGCTGATGATGTACTAATTAGAGCGTAAACGAGCTTAGACTGTGTACGGACTAGTCATGCGGGGTTTTCGACTTGATCATCAGTATCCATGCCCCTTCCCTCTGATCAGCGGATTTTTCAGACTGTTTCTACTCCGAAATATCGATTATTATGGCCAGCGCACTTTCATCGCGAGACTGCTAAGAACAACACCATCATCCCGTCGAAGGATAATAAAACTGCCCACCTGACATGGGCCATGACCCATGACCGACATGAAGGCTTATCAAACTCGGAGACAATTGGAGTTGGTCTCGCAACGTGCATCAAAGCCGGGATGGACAACAGGTGGCAGCTTATGAGAAGATAGTCGGCATGGTAGTTCATGATGGTGTCTGCTGCGAGGCCTTCTGAGAGCTATTCTACCCGTCATCGACCAACGCTGTGGTGGTAACGTTGCTGATGCCAAGTACCCTACTGATCTAGACTACACTGAGCTCCTCGATACTCCAATTGACCCTTCTCGAGAATACGTCATCTTTACTAGAGCAAGGACGGGTCGCAGTGTGCGTGGACTCAGACTTCCATCTTCTTGTACTAAACAGAGAGGTCGAGAGAATCTTAACTGAGGCAGTACAAGCCTTGGGTGGAGGCCTGGCTGGTATTTACTATCCACTTGTTGGGTGTAGTAGCTATTATGAGAAGCCAGGGAGAGTTATAGTAGCAGCAAAGCGTGAAGATCACTCACTCTTCCAAAAGCCTGAGTACACTCTCTTACTGTCACCTGGTATGGGCCTACCCTAATTGTCAACGATCAGAAGAACTTCCTAGTTGTAGTGAATGAAGAAGACCATATCATATGCAGAGGAATGCCGATACTAAGCCCTATTCACTCGATTCTGCGATGCCATCAACCACGTGCAGGAGGTTGGTAAGCAACAAAGCTAAGACTTCATGCATAATGATCATCTCGGTAACAGCCTTGGAAGGTCCCACTACTCTCAGCTATGCCTGACTTCAACAATATTCGTTGACCGTTGCATCCGCAAGCTCGTGATGGTGCCTGAATTGACATCGCTACTGTTGGGGGGCATCTCCAATAGTGATTAAATTCCGAGATCGAGCTCGTGTGTATGTCGGTTTAAAGTAGTCCAGTGTCGTCGGCGGCATGGCTACATAGGCTAGCTACTTGATAAGCTCTCTGTTGCGTTATCAACTTAGTCGTCACAACGAGGTGGAGGAGCAATCTAGACCACACGATGCGGAGTACACGAGCTTCATCTCCAGGACTCGACATTCCAGAGCCCCAAGAGATCCTAAATGGACATCTTTATCAGTGAACTTCCAACTATCAAGACGCCTATCAAAAGTAATGATGAACAACAACTGTTGTAATTGTCTGCTTTTCGTCGGCGATGAACCAGTCGGTCGAGACGGTGGCTATATCCATTTGTCATCCTTCTCCACTGCAACAACACAACACTTGCTACCTCAAGAAAAGTCACAACTGTATCCCGCCCCTGAGAGCAGGGCAGGATCGAAGAGTATTGTATGCACTATACGTTTGGCAAACATATCGGCAAGTACTCCCCCTGGGGGAGCCCCCCATTGAATAGGGTACCTATAAGAAGCGATTGAAGCCATCCACATCGATCACACCCATATTCGACCAACAGCCATCATAGCTGGTACAGCATCCTGAGTCATCAGCGGTAACTCCATCCCTTCCTCTGTGTCCACTTCTGACTCTTCCTCTGGCGGTCGTGGTGATGGACAGAGACTCCACACTTCAGTTCCTCCACAACTCTGTTGCCAGTGTTCAGGAAGATGTCATTAGCCATGATCTTATCATAAGATTCTTATGCCGCCTTAAAAATGGGCAGTGTACACGGCACTGATAAGTGAGTGATGATAGTAGAGGGAGACGACTCACTCAGCTCGTTTCCTGGGACTGAACGACTTCAACCTCGGTCGCCTTTCCAGCGGTCACGTCGACCCTTGATAGTTCTGACGAGTCTTGCGCATGCGTGCAAAGATTATCACTACTTCTACCCGCAGTGTTCGCGATGAGCACGTCAATGGAAGTGTCCTCCGGTGGTTTCGATGACAAAAGAGCGACGTCTTCCGGGTCCAGCTTAGCCCGGTCCGAGCCCGATAACAGCTTGCACCCAGCCTACCTGACCACGACAAGCTCCGGGTTGACGCCGCTACTCCTAAGCCTACATAGTAGGGTCGATGAGATCGATGAAGCCCAGCCTGGCAGCCTCGTCTACAATCAACGACACGGGGTCCAGGGCCCGCAGGGTGCTGCCAGAGAGACCGCCGTTGGGCCATGAACTATACCCTGGTCTTCGAAAAGAAATATCCCTATTGCCAACGCCATTACGATACCACTCCTCCTTCACTTACCTCCATCGGTACCATCTTGAGGCTGGTGTCCGGGACAGGTGTATCCACATTAAATTGATAGTCTACCGCTAGGGTCTGCAATGGAGTCGATGGGCAGCTACGCACCCTAGTGCCCCTACAGCTTGTATCGTGCTGGCATTTCGGAGAGTACCCAGCTTATTAAGGGCGTCCTTATCCAGAGTCCTTAACTTCTCATTACGCAGTTCAGCATTAGCCCGGGCAGCCACTTGCCTATACGGACCCTGACCCCACAGGATGCCCACCTATTCCACTCCCGAATCTGATGGCGATTGCGGTGAGTCGAATGGCGGCCCTTCTCCCCGCTATGGGCCGAGCTGGCCCCAGAGGACATCAGAAGATAAGGGGCAGCTCAACTCTATAGAAATTGACGTTGCACTGTGAGCTGACCAACGCAATACCACCAAAGTCTTCAAGTCGACACTCTTTATTACTATACATTTCGAGTCATGCCTTAGGAGTAAGTGGAGGCAGCCTAGGTACCTCAGAGGTAACCTCTTGCTGCGCCAACTCCGCAGTATAATCCTGAGAGGGCCCTGAATGGAGCCGACCAGTACTATCACCTGGAAGCTCTTGCCGGACTCCACAGCAGTTAAGAACTGGACCTTGCCAGGTATCTTCGGGAGTTCAGTATAATCACTACGGAATTCCACCTACAGGCACCAGGTGAACACCCGACCCGACCCGGCCGCCCTACCGGAGCAGTATAAAGACTATCCGCCTGCACTGTTGGGCCAGGACGTGACACGTGCGTTTTCATAACCTAGTCGATTGTGAAGCACCAGAGATCCCGAGGGTGAGCCCTCACCCTGAACCCAGGCCCCTTGTAGGTCATCTTGGCTATTCTCTTTTGCATTCGAACCTCCTTATCTACTTTATCGTAGCGCACTGAGCTAGTCAGCGAGCGGAAGTTAGTCGCAGCTCGAGAGTTCAACAATGCGATCTGTGGAAAACTCCTTTCTTGGCGGCAGACGAGACCTACTACCTGCCGACTCGTTTTAAAGGGCCCCTGGATGGCCTGTTGGCGGCCTACATTCGCTGTAGCAGTAGAAAGCAGGAACTTTTCATATGCCTGTATACCATAGCAAGGTAGAGCCTCTCTAGCCACGACGAAGCCTACCGAGTCTGGAGTTACGTCGCCCTGTGGGGCCTGCTTGGGTTGGACCTGAAGACGTCGATGGGAGCAGTGGAGAGGACGGCGTCATACTCTGGCCCGCCGCGATACGGACTTCTCGAAAGCCCTAGGTCTTCGTATACTCTTCACTACCTTGAACTTGGCGTACTTTCTAATCTGTGCTTCGACCGGCTGGAGGAGCAATAGTACTCGCAGTAGTAGCAGGTAGCTCTCCTACCTCCCCTAACACATGTGGTTGGGACTTCGCATAGGGAGAGTTGTAGACTCCAGGGCACTGAAGAGATTCCCAACAATCAGTTCGAAGCTCTATTATGAATAGAAATACGGATATAGTAGACACTAGGTGACCACATTCCGAAAGAGTCTTCTGAATTGCCAGCTCCTGAGCTCGCGCCGATTCCTGCATGACAGTAACTATACTACTCAGGGGTGTGCGCGAGTACCTCTAGCTGTTCTTTCAGATGAGCATCCGCTACCTCTTGTAGATATGTACGCGAGCGCTCTCCCCGTTCCACAACCTCCAAAAGATATCTAAAGATTCTTCCCCCTAACCCTAGGGCGCACAAGGCTGCTAACCTCTTCATTGCATAGAAGTCGTGCAGGTACCGCCTCGACCAGAAGCCTTTGAACACGCGTTGTATCGACTCGGCTTGAGCGTTGAAGAAAGCCAACTGTTGATCCTTGAGCCTCCGAGCCTGCTCAGCCCACTGCCCCCAACAATGCAGTTGAATACTACCCTCAGCGCCTGCACTTCACATCTCGTCACAAAGCCGCGATAGACACGTTGGATCAACTCAATAGCTCGTCGAACCTAACTACAACTCCACCCAACGCACCCGGAAGAGCTCCCCATTCACGTCTACTATTACCCTTTCGTATCGGAAGCGGCAGAGGGCCCCGCGAAATATCCGTTGGATGTCCGAGGCAGCCCTCATCTCAGCAGCATAGTGGTCTTCGGCCGCTTGTACTCTGTGATAACCTGAGAGAAGAGAGCCAGCTCGACCTCCTATAGTGAGCGATATCAAGACTCGTCCCTGTCCCGGAGAGGAAAGACTGC